AGTTGAACCTTGGCGATGCATCTGTGTGCGTTACTAACACAGGTGTTACACACATGCATACAAAGGATGAGCCGAGATTTTAGATTCCTGCCTTTTCTCTGTTTTTTACTTAGATTTTTTTTTATTGAGCAACAAAATTCACCCAATCCTTAGTTTTTTTTTTTTACATGTACCTCACATATGGTTTACTCACAGCCAAGAACGGATTTACATTATATAGGTAGTTAAAATATACCATTGTGAACAGTTTTAGAGCAATAAAAGATGTCCATCTTATTTTAATAATAAAAATTAAAATAAGATAATAATAATAGGATAGAGCGAAGTGGAAGACAGGAAAGGCAGACCCCACTACCATGTGGGAATAATAAATGCAGAGAGAGAAAGTTTAAGAGCAAACAATATGTGATAAGTCAAGCGAGCAGACAGGATATCTGCAACACCTGAGGGTTAGCGTATGCGTTGACAACTTTTATGTATAGGGGGACCACCTCACACCTTACACACCAGATGAAATGCGAAAGTATAATTTTACCACTTTACGACGGTCTCCTGTGAGGCAATCAGCACCACTGGAGGAGCCTGATATTTGTGCTTTTAGAAAGAAAGAAATATTTATTCGGCGCATTACTTAGGAAAAAAAATGAAATAACAGTGCGAAGACTACATATAAAGCAACATCGGGGTCGTAGAGGCTGAAGTTCCATGTTAGACATGAACTAAGCAAAGTGGGATGTAGATACACTTGCATATTACGGCTACTGTGCTTATTTGTCTCCTTTTCCATATGAAAAAAAAACGTGGATTCCGGCACGGGAGAAGTAGAACTTCGTAATGTAAAAATGAAAATAGGAAGGGGTAGAAATTGATTTTAAGTGAATTTGTTTCTTTAAGACAAACTTAAGTAATAATAATAAATTAATTAAATTAATTAATCATAATTTTAATTTTAATAATTGGCCCGTAATAGATATACCACACGCATGCGTTCGAGTGCCACGCATTCACTCTCGCTCTGTCTCTCTCTATTCCCCCTCCCCAAGAGCGTTGAACGTTTAACGCAACAGTGCTTTCATACCCCCTCCATGGTAGCGTTAAACGTTTAACGCAACCATGTTGGAAGTCGCATTAGAAGCTTCACTTCAAAAGACTATTTTCATTTGATCCTCATACAGTTCTCTCTCATTTTTTATGTGAAAAGTTGCCAAGCGAGCAGACGGTTCACCTGATGTTAAATGAATACCGCCTCCCATGGACATCCGCTACACCCGAGGGTTCCAGATGCAACAACCTCTTGAAAATTGGGCTCTCATTTCTCTAACGTATCCCATACGTCTAAGCATACGTGCTCTTTATCGACGGATATCGGAATGGAATGGAATACGCGTTTAAAAAGTTTGTATTCAAAATAAAGTCAAAAAGACAACCCCCAATCAACTTTGACGTGAACGTCAAACGTTCGTGTATGTTCCGTGATATCTCCGAAGTGGATCTCGGAAATATAAACTTTCACTCAACCAGCGGGCTTAAAATTATTTATTTGATAGCAAAATCAAGCCGTGATATCTCTGTGTCAGGGCGCTCGTCTTTAATTCAATATACTCGAGCAACCTGAGTTCGATCCCCGGTGCCGTCACCAATGAAGTTTTTAACTTTAAGTGCTGACTTATCACGTGCTCCGCGGTGAAGGAAAACATCGTGAGGAAACCTGCATATTTTCGAAATAATAACAAAAAAAATATTTCGAAGATATGTGAAGTCCGCCAATCCGCAGTGGGGCCGCGTATTGGACTATGCGCTGATACCCTCTGTATAGAGGAGGCCTTTGCCCAGCAGTGGGACATGTATAAGCTGTTACATTACTTTTTTACTTTAAAATCAAGCCTGTGGTGGAGTGGGGTGTCTGTTAATAATATATGTTTGGCTCTGTTGACAAACACCTTTTTAAAGTGTTGCATTGAATATCAATTTTGAAACATTAGAACTCTAAGCGCTACTATTATATTATTATTTTCTAGCAGTGTTATTGAATGTGTTTAAACAACTATAATTCTTTTATGGCAATAATTAGATAACAAAGCAGACATCACCCACTTCAGGGCTTCTCTCGTCTACATAAAAGTGTAATGTTTGCCTCCGCAAGGGAAAATCAATGCGTCGACAACCCTGAGAGCTTATATGGTTGTCTATGTACTGAGCCCAACAATGCTGACGAAGTCGCCTACAACTTGTCTCCCGTGAGCACGTTACGCCTGACATACTCGTAGCAAGCTACGGCGCGGCCATTATGCGGTTATACACTGCTCTAGGTACTCGTTAACTGTCAAATAACGGAACTTAACGACGCTGACGTTGCTTGTTACAACGCGTGTTCAATAAACAAGTTACTTGTCAAATATCGCGCGCTATAACGACGACGTCGTTACCACGGCTCGTTCGTGTGACCACTTGTTTTGTGATGAAATATTCCATGTAAGAACATATTTTATATACTATTTCTCATTTTTTTGTCGGTACGCGATAACATCCATAACTGCACATCAACTTTAAAGATTAAAATATATATAATCGGAATGTCGGAAACGGCTAAAGTTAAATGTTTTCATAACAAACCTCCGTTTATAAATGTATTATGAATAATTATGTATATGATAACGCCATCTATTGACAATTTGATGAAAGATAGCGAAGTAGAAGTAGACTGAACGTTATGCTTTAAAACAAAATACTGGTTACTCTTCTAAAGACGTCGCACGTATAGTAGGTACCTATGTGTACGGTCTACCGGGATATCGTCACTATCTTGTATCTTTAAACGAGCAATTCTCGTATATATATAAAATATATATAATCGGAATGTCGGAAACGGCTCCAGCGATTTTTTTTTACTTTTTTTCAATACCAGATCACTGCTTTCTTTATTTTTTATTTTTTGTCGATCAAGATGATTTTGTTCTTTTATTCCCTTTTTTTTAAAGTTCTTTCTTTTGTGAATAACACCAGTTCATATTTTCTTATTATTACGTCGGTAACATCGAAAAATATTATGCATATTTCATTACTCCGTAATTTATATCTAAATGTAATTTACCAAAATACACGATTTACCAAAAAAAAAAAGCAAACCGAGCAAAGCTCAGTCCTCCAGGTGCTGTTATATATTGGATTACAACTTGAGATTTTTCTTATAACGAAAAACTATGTACGCGTCTGCACTCCCGTGAAATACGGTACCTCCAATAAAAGCGTATACTTTCTCACTTTGAAGATTTATATTCGGATGGAAATACAGAAGCCGGCATAATATTCCAATCCTCTCAAGCATACTTAGTCGATATACTATGTCGGCAGCTTGTTGCCCGTAGCAAACTTAAAGAAGAATTATGTTAATTGAATCGGAGGTGTTCCGAAACGTTATGTTTTCACATATAGTTTATAGATACTGTAGCTCTTTACTGTGTTTGTGTCTGATTTGATTGAATGTTAGACGTGGAAGATAACTTGCGAAGGACTATCACACTTTGTGTCTCGTGTGTTTTGTGAAACCGTATTTTAAACTTATCGTGTACACATGATGCTTATACCCGACATAGACATTGACAAGTCTGCCGGCTTGACAATTCGTTAATACTGATGCATTCTTTTTTTTTTTTTTTTTTGAATTTTCCTTGTCGATTCAAGGTAAGTGTAAGTTATAAACGGGCCGAGTAGGAACTCACGCTTAATGTTCTAGCTCGCCTTACTTGGAGGAGAGGGGAGTTGCTCTTGAGAAGGGACTGCTTAGGCGGCCAGCGTTGGCAGGGTGGCGGAATAGTGCGAAAGCTTTCCCGTGGACCTGCCGATATACGCATGGGTGGAACATTTAGTGGAGGTTTTAGTCAGTGCGAGTCTGACATAACCCGTCTTTGCCCCCGCGAGGGCGGGTATGCGTAGGCGTTTCCCCCACGTTAGCAAAAAAAAAAAAACGTTCCGTCCGGGGAAGTAACACGGAAGTACCTAACAGAAAAGAATAGCGGCGTGAAGTGGAAGACTACTTCTGCCTTACGTCTGGTGAGTGAGGTAGCCGGGGCCCACTTTATTGAATGGTGGCGACGCATTTGTAACCATCTGGTGTTGTAAACGTTCATGGGTAACGGATATCAATTAACATCAGGTGAACCATTGCTTGCCTTATTGTTACATAAAAAAACGCGCGCCGTGGGCGAATGGTGCTTAAGCCGATTCCTATCGGCGAACACACGCGTGACGTACTGACGTAATAATCGTGCGTGGGCTCTCGTTTAGTTTATGTGATATATAACATCGATGTCCATATTGGGTATGGTATACCAATATCAGGATATAGTGGGATTTAGTGCACCGAGCTAGTGCGACTGACACGTTGACAATCGTTGCAACAACTGTTCCCATCGATCTTTATGATGGTTTAGCGTCTTTGGGTTTTATTTTGCTTATTAACGGACCTCACTGCTGCACCATCAAGTACCACGGCCTGATGAGACCGGCGTGAAGTGGTAGTATTAAACTTTCGAGTTCCGTCTGGTGAGTGAGGTAACCGGGGCTCACTTTTTTAAAGGTTGTCAACGCATCAGCAAGCCATCGGCTGTTGTATATGTCCAAGGGGGGCGATATTCATATCACTTCATGTGAACCACCTGCTCATTAAATAACTTTTCACGTTAAAAAAAGTGCACTGGTAATTTTTTATAAAAAAAAAACTAGCGACCCGCAATGTTATTATACATATAAACCTTCTTCTTGAATCACACTATCTAGAAAAAAAGAAAACACATCAAGATTCGTTGCGTAGTTTTAAAGATCTAAGCATACATAGGGACAGACAGACAGCGGGACGACTTTGTTTTATGCTATGTAGTGATGATATACATATTTTAAATCTTATTCATCTAACGAAGGCGGACAGACACTTGCCCGTCGTACTAATTTAGATATTATTTTATCTCTTATGTATTTGTGATATATCGTGTATTGTAAAGTGAATGAGGTAATGTCTGTAAATATCCAAACAAATATATGGTTCTTACAAATGGATCTTGGAAGTCTCAAGTATACTCCATACTTTAGGTTCAACGAAGGATCCGCTTCTTTATTATTTCTGCTAACAAAATTAATACGTTGAAGATCCCTACTCTGAGTTGAATATATAATATTATATTTTAGTTTAAGATGCCGTGACGGCTCAGTGTAATTTAATATACTAGAGCAACGTGAGTCCGATCCCCGGTGCCGGCACCAATGAAATTGTCAATTTTAAGTACTGAATTATCACGTGCTCAGCGGTGAAGGAAAACATCGTGAGGAAACCTGCATATTTTTCGAAATAATAACAAAAAAATAAATATTTCGCATCCAATCCGCAGTGGGGCCGCGTTTTGGACCATGCCCTCTGTACAGAGGAGGCCTTTGCCCAGCAGTGGGACATGTATATGCTGATACTTTACTTTTACTTTCAAAGAGATATTTATCGTTAATATAATACTTGCACTTCATTTCAGATTTTCTGTGAATTCGTGGTTATTCCAAGGACGATTTTATCACGTTACGTTTATACTTGTTACCTTGATCCCCCAAGTTAATCAAGGTCTACGATTCGCACTTTTTTAGTAATAATAATATAATTTGAGAGAAAGGTTTAAGATCATCTCTAAGTATGATGTACGTGTATTCCAACGAGTGACGACGTGTTATAAAACTAGGCAATCGAATTAAATGGACAGCCTATCCATACCTTCTTTTTTTACTTTATTGTACACACAATTATAATATAGACAATCGGAACAAATGGTAATGAAATTTGGTACACAGATAGTTTAAAGCCCGAGGAAGGTCATAGGCTATTTTTAATTTGAAAAAGTGTTATAAAGGTTTCTTAAACGGGAAATATATTTAAGGGCTGATTCAACGCGAGCGAAGCCTCTGGCGAAAAGCTAGTTTACAATGTTTAGTGATTTTGAATGGGTAGTGGTATACGTTTGTATTTATGCCAACACAACTTTGGAAAATGTTATGAGAGGTCGAAACCGGTCTATTCAATACTCAATATGTTTTAATTTTCTTCTGTGAATTATACTACCCATACAAATAATGTAAGCGTTCGATTACTCGACGTCAAATATCTTCAATATTCGTCACATGTGCTTCGATAATCAAACACTTCCGTTCTACTTGGAAAATACTTAGATAACTTTACAGATATCGCCTGCAGAAATTATACCGAATTTTAAATACGACTTCGCTGGTTTTCTTTGTTTTATAAACTGCAACATGTTCGAGAGATTTGTTTTTAGAGCGTACCATTTTTTTATTACCTCTTACTAATAACGTAATTAACTGATCTTTGTTAGCGCTAGTATGCTAGTTCGGAAAAGAAAAAAATAAGTTTCCGTTTATAGTTCTTACACCGATCGACGCCGACATGTGATATTTCGTTTTCGATATTTTCGATTGATAATCGGGTGGTGTCCTTAAGTGTGTCCAATCTATGCGAGGGAAAACAGAGCAAAGACGGGGGTTTGGGGATACTACCGCTCTTCATTACGCTCTCTTCTTCAACTTAGGATATTCTATATAAAATGACTTACATATAATGCGATATTATGATATTACATTAAAGTACGGACCACGGATACGGACGGTGCTGTCTCTCGGTGTTTTATCTGTTAAACAGTTCTTAAATGCATGACTCAGTACTCAAGCTTTACGTAAAAGAGCTCCATGAGATAATTATATATCGAACTTGAGATATCTCTTTGTTAGCGCTAGTATGCTAGTTCGGAAAAGAAAAATAAGTTCCCGTTTTATAGTTCTACACCGATCCGACGCCGACATGTGATCTTTCGTTTTTCGATATTTTCGATTTATAATCGGTGTGTCCTTTCAGTGTGTCCAATCTAGTGCGAGGTGACCCCATCGCCCGCGGGTGACGTCTCATACTTTCGCACTGCACTTATCACAAGCCGCCTTGCGCGCGTGCAAACGATGATGAGATAATAAGAAAATAAATCATCGATATCGATAAGCGCTAACACCACTTCCGCGCGATAATTCCGGATATTGTGTGTCGCGATAAGCGCAGCCCTAAGCGCTTTATCGATAATTGCCGCGGTGGCGGTATTATCTTGATGGATGCACGCCGCATCCGCTCCAGCGCATATATCCCGTTGATTGCGGCAATCGCGAGGATTATGCGCTCGATAATACATCGAGTCAAACGCCCGTAAAATTTTCTCGTATGAAATATAACGCGCGCGTATGCGAATTCAGGCATTATTACGCAAGCATATCGTCCTTTGTATCAGCGTAGGCGAGTAATAGTATCTTACTCTGTAATTAATGTACAGCCCCCAACTGTAGCTCTTTTATGCATAATCATTTTCAATTTGTTATTATAATTGAGCCAACGTCACGGTGCGCGATTGGCGTTCGGAATTTATTCTGTTAATTGCGAAAACAAGGGGGAGCCCCCCCCCCCCTCCCCCGACTCATATCCCTCTTTCCTCAGCCATTAGCATCCACAATGTGAGAGTCATCCGACCTCGCGGATTCCGATGCATTATATCGCTGATTGAGCGTGCACCGCTAAATTTGAATGGGCGAATATTTCAAAAAAGGATCGTCGCATTTTTTTATAGCTTCTATTGAGTCCCTTCACCACCTTTCTGTCTCATTGGTCAGCACGGATAATGTAAACGGTTTTGAACCAGTACGAGATGACTTAAATTTATGAAAATTCAGAAATGGATGACAATGCAATACTGTTTTGGTTTACACAGCAAATTCTAAAAGGTTAGACAACAGTTCGCCTTTTAGGATTTGGATTTGGTGAAAAACCCCATTATTTAACACCAAATCATTCTAAAAATATTATTAATTTTTGAGTGGTCAATATAAATAAATATTTAGACGTTTTTAGACTTTGGACGTTTTTGTGTGTTACTTTTCAATTGGTGGTTCGAAGTCGCTTATCTCTGTCCACTCTCCTTTCAGTACTCTGGTGCCCTGGAAGCACTTTCGCGAGGAGCTGAACAACGTGCACCCGATATCCTCGGGCCTGGAGACTATGGCGCTGAAGACCACAATAGACCTCACCTGCAACGATTTCATATCAAACTTCGAGTTCGACGTGTTCACGAGGTGCGTTATGATTTGGTTTATTATATGATATATTACGGCAGATAACTGGTAGGGCCAACGAAGCAACAGTCTTCTCTGTTGCACGAATGAGCAGGTCCTTCCGGGTACGTACCACAACCTTACAGAAGAACGGAGTGTAGTGGAAGTGTTGTACTTCTGCGCTTCGTCTGATGAGAGAGTTAGCCGGGGTCAACTTTATAAAAAGGTGGCAACGCATCTGCAACCCTACGAGTGTTGCAAATGTCAATGGGCAGCGGCGGTTTCATTTAACATCAAGTGAACCGCCAGCTCGTTTGGCATCTTCTCACATAAAGAAGATAGTGTGTTTAGATGTGATAGTGTGTTTTGGCTCATAAGCATAGTCTCTAGGTGTTAATTACATGGTGATTGAGGCCACATAGTAATCGTAGATAGGCGCTGTTCTTTTACTTAAATTTTTTAATGTTATTTAATGTTATTCCTTCTCGATTTCAGGCTATTCCAGCCGTGGAGTACGTTATTGAGGAACTGGCAGCTGTTGGCGGTCACCCATCCGGGCTACGTCGCCTTCCTCACGTACGACGAGGTCAAAGCGCGGTTGCAGAAGTACATACACAAGACTGGCAGCTACGTTTTCAGGTCAGTGCCAATTTTCAAAACAGATTGGAATGGTACTCGTATCATTTGCCGTAATTATTCTACTCCCGTTATTTGGAAAATATTTTACGTCTTTCCTCATTATGGTTAGTGACAAAGTTAAATAGCTTAGGACATGTTTTTACACAGCGTTATCTAGTCGCAAACTTGACAAAGCTTGCACTATGGGTACTAGGTGACTAATAAACGTACTCAAATATATTATTTTTATGCGAACTATTGCCAAACGAGCTGGCGGTTCACCTCATGTTAAGTGAATACCGCCACCCATAGACGCATCTGCAACACCCGATGGTTGCAGATGCGTTGACCTTTTAAAAATTGGGCTCCGGCCGCCAGACGAAACGCGAAAATAGTATACTTCCACTTGACGCCGGTCTTCTGTGAGGTCGTGGTACTTACCCGGACGAGCCTGCCCATTCGTGCAACAGCCGAGGCTGCTGCGTTGCCCTACCACAGAAAGTACTCAAATATACTTTTCTTTTCTAAAAATTATAGACATATAAACGCTTAAACACTAAAAAAACACTATGTTCATAACACAATATTTTTCTGTAGTGGGAATGTTTTTACTATGTTCATCAGTTACCTTGTTACCACACTACGAACTATGACTACATAGTTTGGGACAAGGCGATGTATAAAAATATGTGCGTCTTCAATTATTTACGAAAAATCCTATCCCATTTCATGGTAACAGTTGTGTAGTGAGGGGTGACGTCAGTCAGGTCGTAAAATAAAAACATAGCTCGTAATAAACCAAATGATTCACACGTTGCGCTGACCCTACCCAGGTGGGATAAGAGAGGAAGAAAGAGTTACGTTGTCAGGAGATAAAGATAATGCCTAAGGCCTTTAAGGCGCTGAAATTGCAATGTCTCTTGTACTCTCGAATGCTTAAAGGTAGATATGAACCCGTGTTTCCTCTTGCAGATTGTCCTGCACTCGACTCGGCCAATGGGCCATTGGGTACGTCACAGCTGAGGGCGAGATACTGCAGACGATACCGCAGAACAAGAGCCTGGTGCAGGCGTTGCTCGACGGCTACAGGGAGGGCTTGTGAGTGCAGCTCAAATTATAGTGGTCGATGATTTATTTGTTTGTGCCTCATCGGATCTCAAGCCCCAATGGTTTTAAATTGGAATAAAGCATTTTTTATGAGAGAAGGTGGCAAAAGAGCTGGCGGTTCAACTGATATTACATGATAACTGCCGCTCATTGACATTTGCAACACCCTTAGGGCCGCGGATGTGTCGTCACCTTTTAATAACGTAGGCCCCGGCCACCACAATCAGCACACGTAAAGGTCGTGGAACTTACCCGGACGGACCTGCCCATTCGTACAACAGAATAGACTGTTGCGTGGCCCTACTACAGTAACAGCTTAGACGAAACACGAAATTAGTTGAGAACAGGATTACAATACCGAGCCGTGATAACTCATGATCAGAGCACTTGCTTCTAATTCGATATACTCGAGCATTCCGAGTTCTATCCCCGTTGGAATTGTTGATTTTAATTGTCGGCGCCAATGAAATTGTTAATCTTAACATTTCTTTCTTGCTCAGCGACGAGGGAAAACATCGTGAGGAAACCTGCACATTTTCGAAATAATAACAAAAAAAGAATACGTGAAGTCTGCCAATACAAAGTTTAGTCGCATGCTGGACTATGCCCTAATACCTTCTGTACAGAGGAGGCCTTTGCCCAGCAGTGGGACTTTTATCAGCTGTCGCTTTAATATTTTTTTGTACTCTTCTATTCCAGCTACCTGTACCCGGACGGGCGGGACGTTAACCCGGACCTCAGCAGCGCGATAATATCGCCCGCCGAGGACCACATAACCGTTACTCAGGAGCAGTACGAGTTGTACTGCGAGATGGGTGCGTTTCCGCTGATTGTGTTTTTTATGTGAGAAGTTGCCAAGCGAGCTGGCGGTTCACCTGATGTTAAGTGAGAGCCGCCGCCGATGGACGTCTGTAAACGCGAAGGGTTGTCGATGCGTTGCTCTTCAATAACTCGGGTCCCGGCTACCTTACTCGGCAGACGAAACGCGAAAGTGTTACACTTCTACTTCACGCCGGTCTCTGTGAGGTCGTGGTACTTCCCCGGATGGACCTGCCCATTCGTGCAACAGCAAATTCCCCGGGTGGACCTGCCTATTCGTGCAACAGTAAAGACTGTTGTGTGGCGCTACCACAGTTTGTTTCCCGTTTCGATTAAAGTAATAAATTCGGAAGGTCGATTTACGTCATATATAAAACTAGTGGTCGCCCAATGGCCGAAATTCGACCATAATCAATTATATATGTTATTTATAACTAATTATGGTTATAAATTTAAATTGTTTATAGTGCTAATCTTTGCACACGTGGTGTCACACAGCAGCGACAGTCTTTTCGCAAATTTTCTACATATTTTAATGTTCAATCTTAACTGCAAAGATTAGCACTATAAACAATTTAAATTTCTAAAAAAGCAATGGCGACATCTCTCGTTCGAATTATCGTTGTAAAACGATATTCGAAATTGTTTGTATGCTGGAAAGGATATAACAATAGATGGCGCCAAGCATTGCTTCAAATGCTAAGAAAACAATGTAGAAGAATGCGTTAAGATTTTCGTCGGTGTGGTAATCAGCCGTTTAGCTCAGTGGCTAGAGCGTCAGGCCGCGAATGCCGAAGACGTGGGTTCGATTCCCACAGCGGTGACAGTCTTTTCGCACTTTTTCTACATATTTTAATAATTATGGTTATATTGGTTATACATGGTGTGTAATATATTTTTATGCATAATTTTAAAAATATTAGCATTCTGCACTCCTCTATACGAACTATAAGTGTGAGAAATTTAATACTCCGCCCAATTTTCCTAAAAGTGATACAAAGATTTTACTTCACGTATTAATATACCGATTATCTTATTGTTGTTTATATTATGTTACATTATTGTTTTCTTATTTGTGAGAACTCATATTTATGTCGCGCTTTGCGTTACAGGCAGCACTTTCCAGCTGTGCAAGATATGCGCCGAGAACGACAAGGACATCAGGATCGAGCCTTGCGGCCATCTGCTGTGCACGCCGTGTCTCACCGCCTGGCAGATTGTGAGTATCGATGGGAGATGGAGAAGTGGGAGAAAGAGATGGAATGGACAAGGGAGAGATAGAAAGACTAAAAGTGAGAGATAGGCGCATAGAACGTTGACGTTGACTCGGGTTCGTGTTTATTAAAGGGTCATTTTTGTGTTGGTGAAAAAGTGGGGGAGCGAGATAGAACTAAGGGAAGGGAAAGAGAGAGAGAGAGAGAGAGAATAGTTCGAGAGAAAGAGAGAGAGAATAGTGCGGAGGAGAAAAAGGTGGCGTATAGAATGTTGACATTGACTCGGGTTTGTGTTTATCATAGGGCCATTTTTGTGTTTTTATTTATCAAAGAAGAAAGAAATATAAGTTACATAAACATGAGTAAAAATAGTTTATAATAAAGATGTAGTGTAAGTGTGTAGCAATTTTTTCAAACAAACGTTAGGGTATAGGATAAAAGTAACAAAATTGCGGTATAATATTGCGTAATAAGCTAAGCATATATATATGTTCGCATAATGTCATTATTGTTATTAATTTTTCCAGGATTCCGAGGGCCAGGGATGTCCGTTCTGTCGCGCCGAGATAAAGGGCACAGAGCAGGTAGTGGTGGACGCGTTTGTACCGCCTCGGCCGCCAAACACCACTTCTGAGGCGAAGTGAGTGAAAAGTAAACTAACAGCTTATATAGGTTCCACTGTTGGGCAAAGCCCTCCTCCGTACGGAGGGTATCAAAGCATAGTCCACCACGTGGCGACGCGTCTGCAACGCTACGCTGGCAAGTGTTGTATGGTTGCCACATTCTCACATAAAAAAGGATTCGTCCGAGGCGGGATGTGTAGCACACTCTTGTGATAGTTCTCTCTACTTCTTTTTCTAGCTACTCTACGCCTGTGCTAGGCGGATTGGTTCTTACCTTTCCTTAACATCGATAATTAATTGTAACTTAAAAGCCGTTGCCAGGATTCAACACTTTAAATGTTTTACCTTAAGTGCACAGACTAGCACTAAAAATGTTTTATTCTAACTGAAAAGAGTAGCACTAAAAATGTTTCATAAGTAATAGTTTAATTAAAATAACTAATTGTTTCAGAAACAACATAGTCAAGACTGCAGTGAAACCGGTGTCATCGAATTCGTCAGGCTCTTCTGGTTCGTCTGTTTGCAACGGATCGAGTGAGCTCAATTACAAAAGACAACCCTTTTATTGAAAACGAAAATGAAAATATATTTATTGACAAGAGAAAATAGTACAAGTCGTTTATTTCCATTGGACCCACACTTGGCAAGAGACATTAATCTTGTATCTTGTATCTTGTATTAACTGATGTTTTTGCTTTCAGTCCCGAGACTATTAAAGCTTCATCTGACGCAGAACCGGTGGGCTAGCCAGAACCCACGGGTTTGGGCCCTCCGCTGTGGGTAGGGCCGCGCATGTGCTCATGCGTGCGTTTAACTATGGTGTGTCATCGAAGGGCCATCGAGGTCGCGGTTCGGACCGAGACCCCGACGGCCGTCGACTGTGCAATTAGCTAATCGGTGGCTGGGAGCGGTGAGAACCGCCCCGGAACGCGGGTGTACCTTGTGTCAGGAGACATTAATGCTGTAGTATTTACAGAAGAGTCAGGTCTCAGTTTAATGTTTGGGCTTAAAAAAAGTATTTTAAGGAAAAGCTTTCCTGTTTTGGAGAAAGAAAGTTTAGAATAGGGGTTTACGAGAGAAGAGTGGAGTTTTTTTTTGGAGATTCTAAAATGAGGGTTGTAGAGTGTTAATAATTTCGTATTTTTGGCGGAAACGATTAGATCTTTTATATCCCCCCCTCCCAGGTGCGGACGTGACGTCATCTAGTGGCTCCAACGGATGGACGTCGAGGAGCGTCGCATTCAACGGGTTAACCGACGATATAGACGACGCCGAGGTATATTAGTTATATTATTAATTGGTTTCGCGTGAACCGAGTTGTCCTGTTGGGAAGAGTGGATAAAATGAGGGGGGAGGGGGTCTAGAATAGGGGTTTGTGTGAGAAAAAGAGAGAGAAGTTGTAGAAATTCAAAAATGACCAAGAGAGGGACTGGACTCCCTGATTGGAGGGAAGGGGTACCTAAGATTGTCTTATGGAGTGTTTTATGGGGGTTATGAAGTCAAATATTGTCGAAGACCTAGATGACATCTTCAGGTTTCTTGGCCGCTTTTCACCGTCGATACCTAACTGTAAGGGACACCTAAAAAAGGTGGACACTTGAGCGGTGGTGAAAACGAAACTGGCAATTAACATTTTTTTTTTGGTGTCCCTTAAAGTTAGGGATCGATTGATGAAAACGGGCGTTAGTCAACTAAGAGCTGATGAAAATGCGCGGTGAACAGTTCATTGTATGGATGTTTTAATCCGTTAACAACCATTATCCCCGGGGACAACAAACTCGTGTTAGTTCAAAGCATGCTGGCTTGCATTTTTGATTTTAAGGCATGTTTGTGTTTGTTACTTTTTTGTTTCCGCAATTGGGTCGACTAATTTGGGGTTGTTACGTTGATCACGCGCCATCTTTGTTTGTGTTTATAATAGATTAATTTTTCCCATTATTCTGCCCGTTGGAACTCTACTGTGCTCCACGAACTTGCATTGAGATTTGATATTCTTCTTTTTTTTTCTTTTTATAATGACCTCGCCCTTAATTAGGATAGCACTATCCCGTGTCGTAAGGACGTTTGACATACATGAATTTCACGCGGACAAACACCCAGATGGTAGTTCACTATCCGTGGATCACGCAAATAGTTGTCCCGTGTGGGAATCGAACACACAACGAAACGAAGCAAACAACTTGGCAACTGCACCATGGAGTCATCCTTTATAATTTATGTGTCAATAAATTCATACATGTTAAATTCATATAACAGCTCTCTCCGTTCTCCCAAATTCATTCACCACCCCCATACATTTTCACATACATTTCTCTATAGCCGTACAAAGGTACAGTGTACAGTACAGTTCCAACCGGTAATTGCATGTGGTGCCTCATAGTAACCATCATTGTTTGTTTTGCAGAGACGCGCGAGAAAGTCGCCGCATGCTTGACTTTGTGTGCGTTTGTGCGTTTGCATTGGCGTATGTGTGTATGTTTATTTGTGTGTGCGCGTGCGTGCGTGTTTTACACGCGAATCGGACCTTAGTGCACCTTCCGGAACATTCTACGCGCGACGAACTTTTCATTTAGGATTATTGTTATAGTAGTTTTTTTTTTATTATTTATACCTAGAAAGCCAATGCGCTTTTTGTTTCTCGTAAATGTTTATGTCCCGCAATGAAAATTAATTTGACAGTTCGAACTTGATGATATAGTCCGAGATAGATGTATCCATATTGTACAGGTCATGATATTTAAGAAGTTATTTCACCAGTGAAGTTATTTAATAAGTTATTATGAAGAAGTTATTTTAACAGATTTGAAGTCTGCCGTTTTGAATATTAATTTTTCAAATAATTGTAAGGAATTAATAAATAATTTATCTGTACCTTGTGGTTCTCGTCTGACCTATCACAAACAAGACCTAAACAGCATATTCAAGAGAACGTAAAGTCTGATAATTCCCTGCGATTAAGACGCGTGATATCTTATTGTATTATAAACTTTTGTTCTTGAATATTAATAAAATAATTGATATTAATTATCCATGATTCGATGACTCCGCGGCGCAGTTGTCAACTTATCGGCTTCGGCGTCGGGGTCGTGGGTTCGATTCCCACACGAGACAACTATTTGTGTAACCCACAAATAGTTGTTTCGCATCTGGGTGTTTGTCCGCGTGAAATTTATGTTTGTGAAACGTCCTTACAACACAGGATAATGATATCCTAAAGTAAGGGCAATGTTTTTCAAAAAAAAAAGAAAGAAAAGAAAAAGAAGGAACGAATGATATGATTAAAACTACGCAATAAAATGGCAGCATAGTTCTCGTCAAAAAGTTCGCCAAAAAATTACAACTGACATAACTATTATGTAATCAAATTATAATTGTCAAAACAATGTTTTTTTTTTAATTTATTATATATTCTGGATGGTCTAAAAAACCAGATCAATTCGCAATTTTTAATATTTCTTAATTAATTATTAGAAGAAATAATTATGTAATATTTTAATTATTATTGATATAATACTAATGTACTTAGGCTGCCAAATTAATTTTCACACTTAAATGTGCGCAGTAGTGTAAATATCTGTTGAATGTTTGAACAGATGCCGCTTTTTGATTTCCCGCGAAATAAGACAAGTTCTCAATATTTTGGTTTTGACAGATTTTTTATTCTGTTCCTTTATTTGTTTTGTTTGTTTGGCTTTGTTTGTATATTGTAATGTACTTATAGTTGCACATTAGATTTACACTGCAATATTGAAATTAAATGTAGTCGTTTTTAATATCTCGTTTTGCATTTATTACTTTTTTTTTTTCAATTTTCACTGTCACGACCGGAATGAGAATCCTTGTATATAGATCCTAGAGGTTAAAACAATGCATAGATAAATTGAACCTATAGTCATAAATCTTAAAGACGACATTATTTTGTAACCGCATCATGCTTTGCATTATGTATGGAGTGTAAAATAAAATCAGTATTTTGTAAGTATTTAATGTACTCAATAGAAAGTTATTAGTATATTGGTGCGAATTTAATATCTATTCCGAACATAGCAATATTTAAATAGCCTTACTATGCGTTTCCGACTCCATCCACCAGAAACGATGGCTGAGTTAGCAAGAGTGATATAAAAATTATGAAATGACTTGCTGCTGCCCGCGACTACGTCTGCGTAGACTAGGCTGAAGGCGTAACATTCAGACGGAAAGACAGATATACATAAAAATATGTATATAAATTATAGCCTATGTTTCATTCTGATATATAAGCTATATTATTTTAAGTTTCGTTAAAATCCATTCAGTAGTATTTCCGTGAAAGTAACAAACATCCATCCATACATACAAACTTTCGCCTTTATAATATTAGTAAGGATTACATTGATATCTTTGGCCTTCCTTTTTTATGTATGTCGTCGTTTTTGACGTTGATAATCGGGTATTGGTGTAGTGGACAGTGAACATGTTTCTATCGCCAAAGGGTATGGGTTCGATCCCCACTACTGGAACAAAACTGTGTGACGAACACTGTGTTTTTTTCTAGTGTCTGTGTGTTTATATGTCTACAATATGTATTTATTTATAAACAAAAGTATATTTATCCGTAGTAAAAGCGTTGCTTAGTTTGGGAATGGATAACGTTGTGTAAAAATATGTCCAACAATATATTCATTTATGTACTTTAATAGTATATAAAATGTATTTATTATTACGATTTTTTACATAATAAGGATCATTTACAATTGTTATAATAATCATAAAATTAAAATAATTGCTAATACAATGAGACTGCAAAACATTATTCTTAGGTTCTCCAGCGAAGGGATTGACATTTTAGGTTTCATATGTAATTCTAAATTAATTATGATTAATTAATAATGCTTAAATATTAATAATTTAATAAACCTTGTTACTCAATCTATGCCATTAATATATTATGGTGAAAATTTATATCACTCTTGCGTAGGCTGGTTTCTTTTACATGTTTTCGTATTATCGAAATATCGAAACGAATTTTTGAGTACAGAACGCAAAAGTTTTTTTTTTATTTTCTGTGAACGCGGAAGTGAGAGATGCATTTCAAACTTGCTGTGTTGAATCTTTTTAAAGTTTGGTCTGCCTTTGAGAACTTTTTGTTAGCGATTTTGGCGCAACTATGCAGCTCAATAACTGCTTTTTAGTGCATACGTAAAGATTTGTGTTACAACAACGAATTAAGAAAAACAGTTAAACAGTAAAAACCCTTTAGTAGAAAAAAATATGTTATGCTTTATACAGCAACGGTAATTTGTTGTGCTTTGTGTAACAAGGATTGTCTGTTGATACATTAATTATTATTCTGTAATTTTAGTTAAGATGTGTTATGAATTTAACTTATTGCATTTTTATGAATTACGCGTTCAATTTTTTTTTTACTTTTGACGTGTCGAATTTATGCATATCGATTTTAGTATTGAAGAAATTTCTGACATCTAGTATTGTCGTAGTATTGTTTCGTAGTTGTAATCCTAGTTGCATATTATATTCTATTGATAATTATTTTTATACATTTTGTCTATGGTTTTAAGTTTATTTATTTGTAAGTGTATTTTTTAATGTTGACAATATATGGTGATATGTGTTCGGTGTGTTTTCTTTATTTCTTGTGTTTTGTTTGTTTTGCATTGCTTTGAATGACTTTCTTCCATAGGTGTATTCGTTGTATTGTTGTCGTGGAGCATGTAACTTTTTTTTTAATTTAGAAGCATGAGTGATATGCATACTTAACTCCCGGTTTCTGAAACACTGATCATCGTTGAAGTTAACTAATCAGCTGTCAAATGGCTTTTCAAGTGTCCTTTAGGTTGCCAAAAGGATGGTTAAACTCTTCTTATCAGTGATCGGAATGATCAATTCAAAGAGTTTAACCATTTGACAGCAGATTAGTTAAATTCTACCACGATCAGTGTTTCAGCAACCGGGCGTAAAATTCATGTTCATGAATTATTCATAGCTATTTTGACTGGGGCGCAGGGAATTTATTGACCGACTGTAAACTCTTTAACACACAGAGAGAGTTAAAAATAATAGGTGTTAGGTTATTCGTTTCATCAAAAACACACTAGTCTTTTAAATAAAAATGCAATGTTATTTTGGCTGCGCCGTTCTGAACAGCTGTGTATAAATAACACGTAAATTTGCAATTTATAGGGAATTTCGCTCGAAATCAATTGCAAAACCTGGCGTTTATTATTTCAATATTTAGTTAAGCATGATTTTTCTAAAAAGTTATTAAAGACTAAGGGCAGCCATTGCCTATCTTTAAATTTTATTTAGGCTCCCGCTTTATATAATTTTAACATAATGCTACTATCAATGTACGTTAACTACCGCAGTACATTACCCAAGACGCATAAACCGCAGTGGGTGATTTGCAACTCTACATCTACCATAGACCTGTTATTTTGGTATCATTTAAAAACATATTAATGAGCACGGATGAAACACTACACAACAGTACCTTACCAGAGATACCTGGTGGAAAGAACAACATCACACAGACCATAATGTTAAAACATCCAAATTATTTAACACAAAAATAACATCACCCCATCATCTTATTAAAGACTAATGAACTTGTTCTAACTCGACATCAACCATTGACTGTTATTGCAGAATCATACTCAATCATAACACAAGTTATATTTTTGAACAAAAAAAAAACCGACTTCAAACAGAAAATTAAAAGCATTGTCAACACCTATAACATTTGAGGATTGCCCTCGATTTCTCTGGGATGCCATCATCAGCTCTGGCTTTCCTTATTATGGTACCACTCTTGGGATATCTCCTTTCCAACAAAAAAATAGTCATCACAATCGGTTCATAAATGACGAAGTTATCCCTGAACACACATAAAAAAATATATACGGCCGAATTGAGAAACCTCCTCCTTTTTTGAAGTCGGTTAAAAACCATGTGGTTTAGCACGTACGCAAAAGCGAATAACACCATTTCAGAGACACCTAAATAGGATTAAGCGGAATTCGACGTGACATCGACCACAGATCTTGATCTAGTAGTATTGTTAAAACACCCAAATTATTTAACACAAATGATGGGGTCATCGAATAAACTTGTTCTGAAGCAAGATTTACAAACGGTGGCGGGTTGCAAGTTGACCCGCTGGGTCCTCGAATGAATTTGTCTACTGTACTAAACTTGACCGGTGTAAACTGACATCGACCAATAGGCCTGTTATTGCAAAATCTAGGGTTGCCAACCATACTATAGCATAAATTATTGTACTACTTTCGGGTTTGCGTCTATATGCTGTTGAAAACATTTAATCATTATGGATATACAGGGTTTTTTAGACGAAGTACATACTTTAACATAATGTTAATTCAGCATTCCATAATTCAAAAAAAAAATATTAATATTTTATTTCGACAAGAAATAACCAGAAAAATATCAATTCAAACATTGTTTGTTTATCCCTTTAAAATTACGTTATGTTCAGCGAAAAGTTTTAGTGCTCTTCAATAGGTTATTGTACTGAGACGGTAAGGCAGGAATTTCTTAAGGTGTCCATAATGTTTGAAAAAATCAAAAATAATCTTTGATAAGAAAATGAGGTCACTAGTACGTACCAGATTCAAATAGAATCAAATTCTGCATAGCTCTGTTAATATGTCCGTCGTCTATAAATTCACCCTGTATAACTTTAGGTAATCTTTACTTTATCCATAATAAACAACATTTTTGAAACGCCCAAATCTTTGTAAGTGGCCAAATTCAAATAAAACGTTGAAATGTTGGCAACCCTAGCGGAACCGTTTAAAGCGCAAGCGAAATGTTGGCAACCCTAGTGGGAGTGGAACCGTTCGAAAAGCGAACGACCGAGCGCTTAAACAAACGCCTTACCGTCGCCCCGTACGTGGTACAGGACTGCGCGGAATTCAACGCGGCCACCTCGACCATAGACTCGCTACGGCCGGGGGTGCGTTCGCCGGCCGCCTCGCCGCGACACTCGCCGAGGCCGGCGAGGCGGAACGCGGCCACCGCCGAGAACGCGTACGGCGAGCTGAGAGCGCCACCCCTGCCCCCTAGGAAGAGCCTCTCGCCCGCAGAGCAGACCATCGCCTCGGCGTCCAGCGTTCAGGACATTGCGGCGGCCACGGCCCTAGGTAATCTAATTTAGAGCATAATTGTTTAGTTCTAGCTAGAGCCCCTCGCCCGCAGAGCCAACCATCGCCTCGGCATCCAGCGCTCAGGACATCGCGGCGGCCACGGCCCTAGGTAAACTAATTTAGGACGTAAATGTTTAGTTGTAGTCAGAGCCTCTCGCCCGCAGAGCCAACCATCGCCTCGGCAACTAGCGTTCAGGACATTGCGGTGGCCACGGCCCTAGGTAAACTAATTTAGGACGTAAATGTTTAGTTGTAGCTAGAGCCTCTCGCCCGCAGAGCCAACCATCGCCTCGGCGACTAGCGTTCAGGACATCGCGGCGGCCACGGCCCTAGGTAAACTAATTTAGATGACCATGGAGACCATTTCGATATACGATATATATAAATGTTTTGTTCTAAACATTTATGTTCATCGGAATTGGGGTCGGTCAAATGAATGGCCTTTGCAATAGTCTTCGCTCTTGCAAGAATGTGAAGTGGGAGTGTTACACTTCTGTGTTTTGTCTGGCGAGTGAGTCGACTATTGCTACGGGTGTTGCAAATTTCTTCCTGTTCTTCTTCCCTCTATCGTCCATTTTGCCGACCTTCAAAGAGTGGGTTCACCATTTACGCTAAATCTCCCGCTGCGCCGGTCTTTTTCAACGGGATCAAGGGTCCAACCGTACCGTGGAAACTTTTAAGACACATTGTTACACAACTTTCTCTAGTCCCAAACTAAGCAACGCTTGTACTATGGGTACTAGATAATTAACCTTCATCCAACAAAGATTATAATAAAATACACCAGCCGAAATACTGCGGTACGGTTGCAAATTACGTTACGTTTACGTGTTTTCATCTTTACGACGTAGCGGTATGAAATGTGAAGCCGTCAATCTTCACCGGCCTATTTATGCCATAATAAAGTGACAGAATAGAGGCTAAGAATAACTCAGATGTTAAATATATTTATAGCCGCGTGGGTTGTCATCGTCTTGTATCGTAATAGCTTGAAATTGCAATAACCATGTCCTTTACATCCTTTCCTCTTTTGGGGCTTCAACTCCATTTATTAATTTCTCTTTCACTCTTTCCATACTTTTTGTTTTCCTCATCTTCTATATTCTCCCTCATATTGGATATGTTCTCATACATATTTGGTTACTCCTAATGTCCTAACTATAATTATATTTGCCTACCAACACGATGGAAGGTGAGTTCGTCAATGTGGTGCTTAGTTCCTGCATACAAACTGCACAGGGGTCATGCAAATAAAGCAGTTGTTTAACAATGGGGTAATAAAAGTTCGTTCTTCAAAGAAGGCATTATTTTAAAAATATTACGTATGATGTTGAAGTTCCCCCTTTCCCCTTGCAGAACCCAGAAGGAGATCTTCGTTAGAGCCAGAGCCAGATTCACGGCACCGTCTCACGTCTGTCATCACCGGCTCTACGGAGACCATTACAGGAGTTATTGACACTAGACCCGAGGTATTCAATTTCAACCCCATTCGTCATTAAAACGGTTATGCCTTTGTATGTATGTATGTATGTCACATCCTCATTTCTATATAATACGATCGACGTGCGTCATTTCCAGAATCAGTAGAATGACGGAAATTGAATGACAATTATCTAATAATATCGGCCATCATACTCCTGCTATATAAACTTATATTCTCATTACAATCTACAATTTTTAATACATCCAATATATGTAAACTTTTCGTTACTTAGTCTGTTGTTGTTTAATCAAGACAAATTTTACATTTTAAATCTGCTTTAGGATCAGCTTTTCATATATTACGTTTGAAAAACTCAGCAGGTACCTCCGGATCCGAGAGCGTTCGAGAAACCCCGCAGGGCATGCACGCCGCAGTCCAACAGCCGGCCGCTGCCGGCCCCGCCGCCCGAACCCGTCCGGACGCCCCCGGAACCGGTACGGAGCCCACCGGAACCGGTACGGAGCCCACCGGAACCGGTACGGACCGCGCCCGAACCGGTTCGCAACCCACCGGAGGACAGAGGCGACAAACCCGAAGCCCGCTCAGTGCCCAACCACGACAGCGACCAAACCCAACGAGCCGCGAACGGAACGAAACCAGAGAGACCGGTAGCACCTTTGCCTGAAAGCCGCTCCAGTGACCGACTGAACGAACGGAGCGCGGAGCACAGACCGATCGAGCGGCCCGTACCGGTCGGCGAGAGGCACACCGTCCGGCAGCCGCCCGAGCGGCCGCCGGACAAACCGGACAGACCGGACCGACCGGACCGGATGCACAGCACGGACAGGGCGAGCTTCGACCACACCAGGGCCGAGGGCAGGGCCCCGCCGCGGCAGAGGTCGTTGCCCTCCGCGGCGAGCGCACCCGTCGACCACTTACCGGCCAAGTCCACGACCATGCCGAAGTTCCCGTCAGACGACGCGAAAGACCCGCCGTACGAGAACGTCAGCGTGGAGAAGAACGAGCTCGCCGTGGCACGTGAGTGACCCAATCCCATTCAGTCCTAAACCACGTAATTGTGTAAGATGGTTCGCGAGTGGTAGTTATTTTGTTCAGATGTGTTGTTGCCGCAAATGCCTCTTATGTCTCATAAATCCTGAAGATACCTATGAAGTTGCTTAGACGTGATCAAAGATGCAAAATATTGACGTAAATCGTGTATTATATATGTATGTTCAATTAAAATGTCCAAGATGTTATGAAGTTCATATAAATTGGAAATGCAAAGTCTTTGTTGATCACGGACTTAAACACGAAGCTAAAGATATAATAGCCAATATTATATGTCCCACCGCAGAGCAGCAGAGGACTCCGCTGTACAGAGGGTATTATGGTATAGCCTCTCATTGCCGATTGTCAATCTGACCGACATACACTTTGGAAATTTGTTTTTTTTTTTGAAATTGGATAAATTAGCACTTAGAATAGTAATTCAGGCGGGGCAGACCATCCTTCGATAATATTTGATATTCTAAGTTAATTTCGTTTTTTTTTAAATCTTTATTTATTACTAAATAAGTCGTTTCTCTTGTTCCAGCAAAGAAAATAAACCCGCTGACGCACGACAAGAACGGGAGGAAATACGGTGAAAACGTTTCGTATGAAAACATTAATTTGGACTACATTGCGCGTTTAGTTGGCGAAGGTTACCCCAAGGACATAGTTGTGAGAGCGTTAGGCATAACAAGGAACGACCTGGAAATGGCATGTGATATATTACACGAGTTCGGTTCGAAAGTACAAAATAAATGCTAGATTTGGATTTCCGATTTGGAAGATTTATGAGCTCAACGCGAGATCTTGTAACAAAGCGATTCCGGTGTAAATTCGACGTTAAAATCAGAGCGTATGTTTACAATCGGTATTATGAATTAGATTTACCCAGTTCGTAGATAATTCTTTTGTAAACGAATTATGTTTACATTTCTCGTTTTAAAATTAAATTACTAATTTTTAAATCGTATAATTATACAGTACTATGTACTACAGTACTACTATCTTAACCAGACAAAGTTTACAGCCGTTTTTTGAAACATTTTTATATATCCACATTATAAGTGAAATACCTATCGTAAATATGCATGTTTTAGCAATGCAAAATATCCGTAATAGCAGTTTAAATACAATGCGTAAATTCGACAACAAATGTTCCAATTTAACAATATTATAAAGAAAAATCCATACCTATATTAGGTTTGTTTACAATGAATCAATCTTACTCCTCTATCTCCCAATATCGTCGGCTTATTAGTCGACCATATTGGGATGATCGAGGAGTAAAGTTTATGTATTCTTAAAGCAATAACTGTAACCGTTCCTATACAAACTACGTACTTCGAATGTGCCTACATTTTCTGTGTCTTAATATTTTGCGAAAAGCTAACATATTACCTAATCTGTTATACGTTGTAAACATGTATCATCTTTGACATTACTCGTTGTAAACATTCGGGACAAAGTAATAATAAATTAGCGTACCTTTTTATAGACAATCAAATTTAACGGGCATTATATACAAATTAGCCTTGAATATCAAAATCTATATTAAGAATTCAACAATAATTATCGTATCTGTAAATTAGTTACTCATTCTAAATGCACTAAAAATATATACGATTGTAATAGACAATTTTAATATGAATTTGATTAAATATTTGTCTAATCTAAATGATTTTATGATATAACTATGTGTAAATAAATCGATATGAATGCACGCCATGTCGGGTTTGACCTCGAACAATAAAATTATGCTTTAAAGTAAAAACGGCTCAATCTCGATGTCGCGTCGTTCCTATATAGTAGCACTTATCATTATTTTCACGTGTGATAGTATTAAATAGGTTAAATTCGTTCAATTTCCGTTATTTACACTTGTAGGTGTATTTATTTCGTTTAAAATGTTCTTCTTTTCGCTACAATAAATAAACAATTTTGTATAACAGGCGGGGAACGTGGCACTGGGTTTTAGAAACATTTATCTGTGGACAAGTATGGACTGACGACGTTTGAAAGAAAAGGACAACTAGTCTGCGGCCATGTCTATCTCTTTCTCACTTGTGTACTTTACATAATTCTGATAAGTACCTGTCAAGTCTGCCGTATAGTAGAAAAGGATAGCATGGCAGCGTCGTGCTGTCCTTGTCGCACGATTGATGTAGGCATATGAAGTTGTTCAGCCCATTAATGTCAGCGATAAATGCGTTTATAAATTGTTCGGTTTATATTCAAATATAAGTTAACGATATGAATATTCTGGAATATAAATTTCCATAAGATGAGGTTGAGTGAAAATTACGTGAATTGACGCTTCTTGTGTACGATAAACGTATATAAGAACTTACCCAGTGTCTGTTTTCAGTTAATTATACCGGAATCAGTATTCTACTCTACTCATTATTTTTAAAGATGCTACTCTAGCTTTGTAAATAAATACTTGTATATTAAATATTACTTATATTTTCATATAAAATATGCTGTCTTAAATATGACTTAAAATAGCTGTTTACATAGAATATATTTTTTCATATTTACGTGTACGTATAATGACGAACGTTTTGACACTTCGACTTATGACCTTTGCAATATTAATATTTAGCGTAACTTTTTAATAGCGTTTGTGTAAATATTAATATTACTTATTTTTTGGGCCCGTATAAACATAACGTTCTTCCGCTTTTGTCAAAAAAAATTAAATATTAAAAAATGATAGGATTAATGTAAAAGATAATTTTTACGTCGTTGAATTTTCAAAATTGGAATTTTCCATCGCGTTTCCTTTTTTAAAAAAATACTATTGGTGTTTAAAAGTAAAATAAGAGATCGTTTCCTTAGTGCAATTATGGATCACCCCCTTTTTTCTTATCAAAAGAGCTTTATTGAATGACGTGACTGAATCTTTAGGTTATAAAATGTCTAGTCTTAATCCCTATTTGCTATTACGATATTGATTTTAACGTTTTTCACGCGAGCCCTGTTGTTGAACATAGGCTAGTTAAGCCCACGCGGAACTTTAGGTATTTACACATACATATCCACCAGATTGCTAGTCAGAGTGGCATCACATTATTTATGATTAAAACGTAGATTACTGAAAAACTTGGTAGATTTTAATCTTAGGCTGTGTATACACTTGAGAACGGATGGTTGTGCTCATCGGGGTTTGTAGACGTGAGCTTTGAATCAGAAAATGATTGCTTTTTCGTGAAAGATAATGGAATTTCTTTCTAAGACGGTGTATGTTTCTGGACAAGGCCACGACCAGATTAGCATTGACCAATGGTCACAAGCGTGATCAAAACGCTTTCACTTGATTGGTTGACGCTTGGAACAATTAAATTTGCAATCAGTAATTTTATAAAGCGAAACGGACACCGTTTGAATGTGAATCGATTAAACCCATCAAGTGTATAAATAGCCTTATTTATAACTGTATCTACTGTTACAGTAACGAAGCACATACGTGAAGCTTTCTTCGAGTATACTTCAACTTAGTAGAATTTAAAATTGAATCGTAAAATTTGTGAATTTTTCAAATTGAAGCAATTTTACGATCACGATAATCAAATAATTGGATTAATAATTATTTCCAAATTTGAGAAATATTATGACCGTATCCGACTTTTTTACGTTTAATGAAAAATATATGTCGAAAACTTTGATGTGTACAGATTTATATTTTGCATTAAAATGGAACTTTTGATTGAGATCCCTTTCTGCAATACGTAATCCCTATAAAATGGACTGCACTGTGTATAAGAGTTGTCTTTTTGCCCGGTTTTTATTATTATTATTTTCCATTTGGCCATTGAATTCGTTTGACCGTTGAAATTTAGTCCCACAATGCCATTGTTCTTTTTGTATAGAAAATACAAAGCACTTATTTATTTACGATTTTAAATTGACTACCCACACATCTTCCAATCTTTCCTCACATCCAACAAGAGCCCTCACCAATCTCCAGGTGTTGCAAAACTTGATTGATTTTCGAGCTATTTGCCTACCGTTAATTATTATACAGTTATTAATTATTATACAGTTATCTAACATTGCAGATTCTATATTCAACATCCCGTAACCGATAAAGAGAGTCAGACCTCTTCGAAGACCTTTATTCGACGTCGCCATTAGGGGCTTTTGGAGCTAGCAGGAAATAAATCTGCCATGAATCCTCAAATCTGTTCTTTTTTAGTTCACTTCCAATATATTACTATACAATGTATTACGGTGTATAACGACAAGAGTTTTCAGTATATAGGTGATAATTTATAACCAGGCGTTGGTCAGATATGACTATCAATATAAATTTGATTTAATAAAACAAGAAGGGAACTCAAAGAGGTTACCGTATCCGAGGTATGGAACCTTCAGTCTAAAGAAGAAAAAATAAGCTAGACTAAGGTCTGAAAATCATTTCTAATATGGTTAAAATTAATAAATAAATTAGACTCGAAATCTCATCATACTGTGTTTGTAAAATATCTTTCCTAGAAGGAGAAAAGGAGCTACAAAAAGAGCAATTCGATTATCGCTTATATTTAATTTGCGAAAACAGCGAAGACAAAGTAATTTAGGTTAAGGAGCTTATTCATACGAGAACGCTACTAAAACAGATGCTGTTACTAGATCAGGGTATGTGCCACGCGTAGAATCTTAGGAACAGACTTGCCTTCGATAATTTTTAATTGCGTCAAATGAAATACATGTTGCCAGTATTTTTTCTACCAAATATTTCTAGAAAATGTTTTATTGTACTCCACAACACGCGTTTGAACAGATAATATATACGAACTGGTGTTGCCACTCAATAGAGACTTATTACGTTACAACTCGAGAAAATACAAAATTAAGCATAAGGTTGAAAATTTTTCGGCGATATTTATAATAGAGAAATAGAACTCAGGCTTTATTCGGCAGCGTAGTATCGTAAATCACAAAGTTTACGTGTAAAGTAATTTCTAAAACGCCTGTTCGTAATTTAAATATCATATCAAGGGACAATATATTTAAGGTTGGAAGTGAAACCTCATTATACAATTACAAGCACTTTTACCATTGTTAGTTGTTACTCGCTGATGTTTTCTTGGTGGGACGATAAAGGAAAAGTATATGTTGGCCTGGACAGCGGTTTTTATGTGACGTGGCTGTAACTTAAAGACATAATTTTTTATCAGTTCAATACCCTTTTATCTAAAGTTAAATTGGATTCTAAGAGATATCGTGTTATACGCAATTTTCGTTGAAGTCGTGATGCGATTCTTCTCACAGGTTATTTCTATGGCTTATATTTAAATCAATCTGTTACCTTTATTACACCGAACCGATTTAGATCAATTCATCTTTTGCACCAATATACATAAAATAACAACTTCTAGATAGGAATCGGTGTGATACGGGGTACCTACTTTAATTTATTCCTATTTTGTTGATTGATGAGATCATTTATAATTTGTAAGATTTCATAGGGAATCACAATATTAGGATGTTTCTTTCTACATTATTCATAACGTTTTTCGACGAAACGCCATCGAATATTACTTGGGCTTATTGCGACGAATGGAATGTTTGGGAGGCTAGGTCTTGATTTACGCTTTAGTAAAAATATGTTTCAAAATATAACATTAAGTGAAATTAAGTTGGTGTTTCTCTTTCTCTCCCTATGTTCCCACCCGCTCACTATTGGTGGATAAAAGGCACTGAATATTACAACAGAAGGTATGTACATGTAAACGAAAAAGTTAAAGATAAATTAAACGATATACTTATATTTTAATCTTAAAGTTATATACGACAAACAATCGTGAAACATAATTACGGCTTCATATTAGAAAGGAATATCAAAGGAAGCTATAAAATGTACACGATTGAAATTTTAATTGAAAAATTATGCTCCAATGACGTATCGCTTGAAAATGTTAGCATTGCGGTATTTTATTATTATTTATACCAAAGTAAGTAAACGATGATATCAAATGAGCATTTTGCTTCCTTTACTTATTTGAGTTTCGTTTTCAGTTCGGTGTTATATCGAGCCGAATTCCCAAGCACTTGGATTTTCAAAAAGTCGGTGAAGTAACTTACGAAAATCAAAAATACAATCTACTTAAACCGACTGTTCATGAAGTGTCTGATTATTTTAAAGAATTTATACAGAAAAGGCATAATGCAAACTTTCTAACGAAAACATTTTTATTAGACAGTAATGGGTTTCGGCATTCCTGGAATATTGTCGATGTTCCACACACAACAAGTCTACGAAAAGCTGATAAGTCTATCAAAGAGGTTAAGCGTTCACAAGAAAATGAACACACGAATTCAAAAAGTAAAAACGATGTTAAAATAGACTCGAAAAATGTCGTAAATGGTAATAATTCCACTCGTAGTATGAAAGTTGAAACGACAATTAGAAAAACCCCGAGAAGAAAGAAGAGAGTATACTCAAATTACACTATCAAACCACCAATTTTAAGGCAAAGTCAAGGAGGGGAAAGTGTTGTAAAGACCACATTTTTCTGTCCATTTTTTGGAATAATTACGATGACTTTAAATAGCAATATTTAAATAAAGAAAGTAAAGATTTATTAATTTCATTTCAAAAGCTTACAAATAGATATTTCGTAGTTTTTTTTAGTAGGTATGTATTGAAAATCGGTAAATCGTGCCGAGAACATACATATTTAGTTTCATGCCTTAATTATTTTTTTAATTATTAACATAACCGTGCCATTTGTTGACACTAAATAAATATTCATCAAATTTTAACAACTATAGTGTCTTCTGCATGTTAACTTTCAAATCGTTGTCATGTCAAATTTATAACCTATTTTTGTTATAAAAAATAAAGAAAAAATATGTAGTCGTTATAAAATCGTTATATAACATGTTATTGTACATAAATGGAATAAGGAGCGTTAGTGTCCTTTTTTTGTATGCTACATGAATAAAATTAAACCAATACAAATTAAACCAATTACATGTAGTACACTTCCATCACCTAAAAGCCACCATAACTACCAACCAGGTGAAAATGAAAGACCATAATTATTTTCCGCTTATAATTCAAACGCTGCACAAATCAGGTCCGTTTCTCGTCGGAGGCGCCCATGAATCGCCTGTTGAACCGCCTCGTCATGTAAGGGTCTTCGTCGTACAATTTGTAGCCGTCAAAGGTGTTCAGAAAGCCGTTGACGGCCGAGCTGATTGCGCGCCTGTAGCTAGTGACGGGCATCTGCCGCCTCAGCATCACCACCGGCTCGAACGGTATTAGCATACCGGCGGCGGACGCTATCAGGGGAATAACCGGCGCGGGGAAGTAGAACGATACCAGCTCCATGGCGCCGTTGACCACGCACGTGCCTATGTTCCTCAGCACCGCTTGCACTTTGGCCGCCGCCACCACCCTCGTGAACTGGACGGTAAGCACGTTGTACAGTTTGCGGATCGCATGCATTTCGACGTCTTTTGATATTGTTGTTTGATTCAGGGACGCTGTGGCGGTGTTTGCCGGTGTCTCTGTGTGCGTGTCGTCCGTTGTCGTTTGGAATTGATCGTTGATCTCCGGCTGCTGCGGCTGGAGGTTATAAGTATAAAAAAAAGTTTTTATGCTCTCAATTATTATTATTTTTCTTGTTCATGGTACCCGTCTAGCGAGAGTTGGAGTTTTGATTCTTTTTACATATGTTTAGAAACTGTAGTTAATTGTGGTACTGGAACAATTGCCTGCATAACAGATCTTGCTTTCACGGATCTAGTAATAGATCGTGGAAGTACCAAAGCCTCAGAGAAGACCTGCGTAAAGTAAAAGCATTTATACTTTTTCGTTTCGTCAGTGACGATGATTCTTCTGCAACATTTCTGTGCCTCACTTACCAATGTACCAGACTTAATTCGCATCCCTTTGATATAAAAAGGACACAGATTTGGAATCCTATCGTGGAATAGATCTGAAAAACGTAATAACTATTTCACGATATGAGATTAATTAATTAAACGGTTTAATTTAGCTTGACCTGTTTGGGTCAAATCTAGTAATTGAAATAAGACCCCCTTCCCGCCGACGGATTGATCTGTAATTTGGTACGCTAGTACTGATGACAATACAATTTAATACATTCGGTATCATTGTACATCCAAGATGGCCGCCGCCACAAAATGGCGGATTACATATTTTATCACTACTTCCTCAAAATGGCTATCAATCGAAAGAGCTTAAAAATGGCTTGAAATTATTTTTTTTTCTCATTTTTTATTGAACAAAGATCTAGTAAACTTACAGCCGCGGTCGAACACCATACGAATTGCGTCAGCAGCAATACCTGGATTGGCGTCATTCTATTTTACGCATCCCACGTATGAGGAAAAAGCCATATGTATACACTGTGAGGTGCTATATAAAATATTTCATTTCGTCATTTATATTTCACCGCATCGTCGCTTTTATGCCTCACAGTTTACTATCGGCGTGACCTTGTTTACCTTAAATAAAATTCGCCTCACTTTCCTGTTTTGTTTTTGATAAAACTTAATAATAAAATAGTTACAATATACAGTAGAAGGAGAGACGTGTCGCCTTAACAGTTAATAGTTTTAAACTTAATAATAAAATAGTTATTGTACAGTAGAAGGAAAGACATGTCGCCTTAACAGTTAATACTAGTTAAAAGTATAATAATCTTAATTTCATATTTGAATTGGTCTAATTCTCATTCTAGAAATGTCTGTATAAATAAGTGTCCATCGAAAATTGAAATGAACATACAATCGTTAAATTTCGATGAACAGCTCTTTGATAGTTCATATCTGAATGTAATCAATTCGCTTCAAAGCAAACGCTATGGAAATGTTGATATGTAATTAATCGAGGTCCGCTGCAGGATTTTCAATTAAGGCTCGACGTTCGTAGTGAGATAGAAGTGTATTAATAATGAAATTGTTTCTAGTTTGCCTTATGTCTTTACTGGCTGTTTTGAATGTTGCGGCACAAGTGAGTATTGCTTAGTAATAGTAATAGATAAACGGTATATAAAAATTGAAGCTATAAACATGTAATCCACGGTGAGGAGGACAGGAATGGCCCAGTGGCTTCTGCTAAACAATTGGGTTGTTTATAAATTAATTATAAATTAATATGAAGACAGCACCAATGACTCGTTTTAATTAAATTATCTTTTCAAAGTGTTCGTGCCAACTTTTAAATCCCTTGTTATACATAAATGTGTGATTATTTACAACTAAGACTTAATTTAAAACTCGTCTCAGTGTATGGTTAGACATGCTTTAAATTCTTACTTTTTCATGTGTTTTTGCAAGGAAACTAAGAATCATGAATTTTTTTTGGAATTTTTCTCATGGCAAGATCAAAATTAATGGTATCATATTTATTTAAAAAAAATAGTAGTTATCACCATTATTGCGAATGTATATTGATACCATTCATTACTTATCGATACATTCCCAACATAAAAGGTGTGGACCTCGAACCTACATAATGGTGCAATGATTTGAGGTGTCCACTTGTAGCGTCGAGCTATTCGAGACACCACTAAAAATAACCCCCAAGTTTGTAATCATCTATAAGGATGGACTCGTATTTGTGTAAATGTATAAGTCAGTATGTGGCGCTATCTTAACTACACAGAGTATTTGCGTCTTATAATAATAATCTGTTGCAGGTGCCCTACGATTACATCCCGCTGGGGCGTCAATCGCGTCGTGACGTCGCACCACCTCATCCCTCAGACGTCAATCTCAACTACGAAAGGCTTTATCCCGCGCGCCGCAAATGGATCGATAAATAATCAAATGTATATATGAAACTGTGTACTTTTAAGTGGCCTTTTTTTAATTAAAACTTTTCAGAAAATCAAGAGGTTGGAACATTTGCGTCCAGACGAGCGCACGCAGCAATGACAATTTCAATATTAAGATTTAGCTTTTACCTTTTTTAAATTTCCTAGCCATATTTTCGTTTATATTAACGCGGGTGTAATATTATTTAAATCGAGTGATAGGTATTTAAATGTATAATAGCTATAATAATAGCCATAAGAATATAGCCGCGACGATGCTCGATAAATGTTACTAAACCTCATTTACAAGGGGTTAAATTAAAGACAACAGATCTCCAACAAAAGCACGCTTCAACATTTTAATAAATTAAACAAAATTAACATGGCAACGTCACATTCCGTTTACATAAGGAATTTCGACCTTTGCACGCGCTACTTCAGTTGACTGTGGTGCATTTAGTGGGATATTACGTTTGGTGAACTCGATTAACTTTAACTGCTAATGTTTATTGTGGGGAAGACTTGGAGTGTTAGGGGTGGTTGCTTGCCGCACGGAGGCTGGCGACAAGTTCGTCCACGTCGACGTTGCTCGGCACAGGGGCAGCGAGCTCCGCATACCTGCTTGTGAAGTCATTGATCGGCATGTCTATTTCCTCTCCCTTGAAAGACAATGAAATTTAAATTGTTTATAGTGCTAATCTTTGCACTTAAGATTGAACATTAAAATATGTAGAAAAAGTGCGAAAAGATTGTCGCCGTTGTGGGAATCGAACCCACGTCTTCGGCATTCGCGGCCTGACGCTCTAGCCACTGAGCTAAACGGCTAAACGAGGCCGCGAATGCCGAAGACGTGGGTTCGATTCCCACAACGGCGACAATCTTTTCGCACTTTTTCTACATATTTTAAAGACAATGAAATATTAAATACCATACCCCAATAGTCGTATTGGGAAGCTCAAAGTCACTCAACGAGCTAAGGAGCGAACTATGTATTTCTGTGCGGAAAGATATCCGCAGTAGAACAAAGGTAATCGACATAGCTCGGAAGGTTTGTAAGTTGAAGTGGCAATGGGCCGGCCACATAGCTCGTAGAACTGATAACCGATGGGGAAGAAAGGTTCAGGAGTGGTGAACTCGTATTGGCCATCGCAGTGTAGCAAAAAATCCACAAGATGGAGTCCAATTGTGCTACGTGGCAGTCTGTGGGGGAGGGGTTAATTCAGAAATGGACTAAAACAGGCTGAAGTGATTATGATGATGATTACCCGGATTATCACTATTATTATTATTCTGAAACAAATGGTCCAAATATGTTGCTTTTGTTTTTTGTTCCGCTTTCACGCCACAAAATCTTAACGACTGAATGTCGTTGAATACTTAAAAAAAATATGATTTTAACATAAGTGTCTTGCATGTATGCGCGGGTTCATTAGTCACAAGGGCTATATGCTTATTGTTTTGATAGATGCTAATTCAAAATTTCTCCCTCAATTCAAAATCGAAGATAAAGGTGAGAATCCTTAGACGCCATCATCGTAAATAAATTTAAAGTATTCAGAAAATCACAAGATTTCCTTATCTGCAAATTGTAATTCCATGTGTTAGAAATAGAGAGTATATATAGGTCAATACAAAATAAAAAAGAAGAAATAAATGAATAGTTACCGCTATCGGGTAGAGAAGACCGATGAGAAAACACATTAGGAAGATCAAATTCATGGTTAGCCCCGGTCCCGTATGTTTCGAAGCGATGCCGCCCACACTTTTATACCGCCTTCCGTGACTTGGCCGAATCTAACTATCGTAAATCATGCATCATTCGGTACGCCTGTTTAGCTTGCCAATCGATTTGCCTCGCATGCATTTACTCTGCTCCCCTTTAGTTTACTACGAATGTTTTACGTGACGGACGAATCTATTATTGCATTTAGTGTAACACAATCACGATGTCCATTTGAGGCGATCCAAATCACCACGAGTTTTACTCTGATGGCTACCAGTTATTTTCTAAAGCGTAAATCCTTACATATAACAGATCCTGCAGTAAGACTCATCCATTTCTACTCGACAAGTATTGTCTCACAGACCGTGAAGAAAAAGAAGCGAGAAGGAATTATACTTCTCTGAAACCTAATACAAAAAAGTTATCCTAAGTTATGTAAAGTTCGCCAATGTGTGATGGGGCGGAGTGTAGAAGGCATTTACTCAACAGTGAGACATATACATTTAAAGTAGGGTAGCGACATATACACAATGTCCTACCGTTGAGTAAAATGCCTCCTCCGTAGATATTAAGACATTTTTTTTAATGTGAAAATGTGGCAAACGAGTTGGCGGTTCACCTGGTGTTAAGTAATAACCCCCGCTCATGGACATTTGCAACACCCGTAGGGATGCAAATGCGTTGTCATCTTTACTTAAAATGGGCACCGGCTACCTCACTCACCAGACGCAGAAGTGTAACACTTCTACTTTACGCCGGTCTTCTGTGAGGTCGTGGTACTTACCCGGACGGACCTGCCCATTCGTGCAACAGTGAAAACTGTTGCGTGGTCCTACCGCAGTTAAATTAACACATAGTTAAATATGCGACCCTTTGCAGGTTGGCAGACTACTCGCATCTTTGAAATATTTTTATTTCTTTCACGATTTCGAAAATATGCGGGGTATTTACTATTGATATTTTACTATATCAATGAGCACCTGATAAGTCAGCGCTTAAAATTGCGATTTTTAATTTCATTGCCGGCACCGGGATTGAACTCAGGTTGGTCGAACTCAGGTTGATCGAACTCAGGTTGATCGAACTCAGGTTGATCGAACTCAGGTTGATCGTGTTATGTGTAAATAAATAATTAATAGTTATGGACACATTTTAACCCAATCTTGTAAGCAAAGATTGTGCTATAGGTACTGATAATTATCGTCATCCTACTATACTTATCCTTCTAAACGCAACATGTGAATCATCTTGTTTGAGGTATCGTCTTCATTTTTACAATCGGCTAAAGGTAAATGTGAATGGTAAAGGTAAACAAGTATTTGAAGATGTAAAAAAAATATTAATGTTTTTCTTTCTTATATAAATAAGTATAAAGAAATGTACAAAACAAGACACTGTATATATATCAGAGTTTTTTTACATTAGTTGAAATTGAACCCAAATCTTCTGACACAGAAGGCAAATTCACTATTCACTACTCCAATTGTTTCATCAGATATGGCTTGCTTAAGGCTACAATTGTTTAATATTTTTAGGGTACTGTACCCAAAGGGTAAAACAGGACCCTATTACTAACTCCGCTGCCTGTCTGTCTGTCACCAAGCTGGATCTTATGAACCGTGATAGTAAGACAGATGAAATTTTCACAGATGATGTATTTCTGTTGCTGCTATATCAACAAATACTAAAAAAACAATATAAAATATTTAAATAGGTCTCCCATACAACATACATGATTTTTAGCCAGTACGGAAAACTTCGTGCGAGAATCGGACTCGCACTTGGCCGGTTTTTATTATTCACATATGACGGCTTACAGATCATTCTATAAGGAAAATATTTCATAATATTTTAGTCATAGTTATTTCATTTTTATCGCTAGCAAAACACGTATATTTAATATGTTGTAACGCCACAAAGCGAAGCTAATTTTTATGCGTACATAACACAAACATTACGTTCAGGGGTCGTTAATGCTTATGGGGATCTTTGATAATATTTTAATATCAAGTACCGCCCAAGGTAAGCAGAGAGCAGCGAAGTGTTAGGATTTCCTGAGAAAATATAAAAAACACTAGTTGAATCATGCCAAATATTTTGCACAAAATCGTGATCGGCGACCAAATGATTATGTTTAAATTTGTATTTGAATTTTCGAAACAATAGAAATATATTTCGAAAATGAGTAAGTCCGCCAATATGTAGTATATGGCGGCATGGTGGACTATGCCCCGATAACCTCTGTATAGTGGAGGTCTTTGCCCATCAGTGGACCGTGTATAGGTTGTTACTTTCATTTTTTTGCTTTAGTTTTTGTCAGTGAAATGGACTGGAAGGAAATATTTAATATTTAAATAATGTCTTTTGGTATATTTCACTGTCTTTTATTTCAACAAATTTTCAGCATTGTGCAGTGGCTTAATATTCATACGTTATTTGTAAGAATTTTTAAATGAGTTTTTTTTAATTCATTTATGAAAACATTAACTTTTTTATTTTTCTTCTATTTTCATCGATAAAGAAAACATAAGCTGCAAAATAGTGGTACAATTACAATATCAAAAAAACATATATATGCTCGATTTTTTCATGACCATTATTAATATTACTAATTAATTAATTAACAAAAAAGCAATCTTATTCTCACGTGTTATACTAATCACTAATTAAATTAATACTAGTTACATCTAATTATGGTCTCTAAGTATATCGGTAATCGGTTTAATAATCTGTAGCAGCTTGTCTCTCAACAAAGGCCTCCTACAAGAACTTCCATGCAGCTCGATCTCTGGCTGTCTGAAGTCGTCTTCCCAACGTTTGCACCCTCCCTTTATTTCTTTTATCGCTCCTATTGGACATTAAATGTGTATAAATCCATTACATATTTTATTTACATTCTCTTTCTGAAATCTGTCTTTAAATCTTTCTTTCGACGTGAAGCCAAATTCCAATTTATACAAATTATATAAGACGAAGTCAGAGACTTTTCGAGTTGCCTTCAACTTGATCCGACGCAAGTCACTGCGTAGCGATCTTGGGGCAAAATATCGTACAACTGTGGTAGGGCTACGAAACAGTTTCTGCTGTTGAACGAACACGTCGTGAAGTGGAAATATAATACATTTACCTTTCGTTTGGTGCGTGAGGTAACCGGGGCCCACTTTTTTAAGGTTGGAAACACATCTACAACCACTTCGGTGTTGCAAGTGAACCGGCTGATCACTTGCCAAATTCCCATAAAGAAAAAAAATCCCAAATTCCCATATAAAATCATCATCATCATCATCATTTTAGCCTGTTCGAGTCCACTGCTGAATATAGGCCTCCCCCACAGACTGTTTCGAATTACGATCCTGAGCCACCTACATCCATCGACTTCCCGCACATTTGCACAGTCACTCTATCTAGTGGAGAGTCGTCTTAGACCACGATACCCAATACGAGACTGCCACCCGAGAACCTTTCTTTCTTATCGGTTATTGGTACGGCCGCGGCCGGCCCATTGCCACTTCAGCCTACAAATCTTCAAACATTTGTTCTACTATAACGGATGTCTCGTTTATGGTGGTACACTTGAACAGCTACTTAAATGTATGCAGTTTTTGTTGAGTATTGCAGAAAGCAAGATATGATGTCTTATCACGACTTATCACAGCATAAGTGCAGGCGATCCCTGCGCTCCCACAACTCCTGCGGGGCCGGCATATGGCCCTGGGCTTTTTTAGGCGAGGATCTTAGCTTTGTGTCATATATACCTCGTTTTTGTAAATAATACTAGCGACCCACCCCGGCTTCACACGGGTGCAATGTATTATACATATAAAACTTCTAGTAAAAAAAACCACATCAGGATCCGTCGCGTAGTTTTAAAGATCTAAGCATACATATGGACAGAGACAGCGGGACGACTTTATGACTTTTTTATATTTATATTATGTATTGATCTTATCATTTGACTCGGTGGTACCATGTTATGCTATTGGCTTAGGCTTTGTGGTTCGTGGGTTTGATTTCTACAAAGGGCAAATATTTGTGTGACCCACAGATATTTGTTCCGGATCTGGGTGTTTGATTCCCAAGCAACTTGACGTTGCCGATCATAAAAAACATAACTAAAACCGCTTACAACATAATTTACATGTTGTGTGTGTAAATAAATTGTATTATAATCGTATCAAAATACTCAAAAAAAGTTCTTTAACGATATCGGGTGGTGAGTAATCGACACCTATTACGATTTTTATTAGACGTCACTCGCCTAATACGATTTGTAATGGCTTAATCGAATTCAACTCGTGCATTTGAATTAATAAAATATCTCTTACTCAAGTAAAATCGAATGCTAAAAGCGGTTGGTAACAGAACTCTATGATTATGTTAGATAAGCTGTCGACATTGCATTTTTTATTACGAGAAGATGGTAAGCGAGCAGACGGTTCACCTGATGTTAAGTGAATACCGAAGCCCGTGGATATCTTTTACACCTACTGGATTGTAGATGCGTTGCCAACCATTGCGTCGTCTTCGGTATTCCATGAGGCCGGGGTAGTAGGTAGACAGCAAAAACTACTTCATGACCCTATCCTGAGCATCATTACACTGCGACTAGCCGTGATAGCTCGGGCGTTCGCTTTTAATTCCATATACTCGAGCGACCTGAGTTGGATCCCCGGCGAAATTGCTAAATTTAATTTCCAACGCCAATGAAATTGTTAATTTTAATTTTTGAATTATCACGTGAGCATCGGTGAAGGAAAACATCGCGAGGAAACCTATATAGCATAGTTTCGAAATAATAAGTCCGCCAATCCGATGTTTAGTCGCGTGGTGGACCACGTCATAGTGCCCTCCGTACAGAGGAAGACTATGCCCAGCAGTGGGACATATATAGACTGTTACTTTATTACACCGTCAGCTTCTTATATTAGCTGTGGTATCTATGGTCTTGGTCTTTAACTGTGGTAGTGCCTCGCAGCAGCCTCGGCTGTTGCACGAATGGGCAGGCTCGTCCGGGTAAGTACCACGACCTCACATAAGACCGGCGTAAAGTGGAAGTATGACAAATACTTTCGCGTTTCGTCTGGTGAGTGAGGTAGCTGAAGCCCAATTTTCAAAAGGTTGTCAACGCATCTGGAACCCTCGGATGTAGCAGATGACCATGGGCGGCGGTATTTACTTAACATTATGTGAAAACCGCCTGCTCGCTTGTCAACTTTTCACGTAAAAAAAAACATGTAATATATAGGTATTTCCAGATCTAGAAGCGTCCATTAATTCATATGGTGCTCAAAAGGGTCCTACCCAAATATGGAACTGATTACTATAAAAAGGGACAAAATAGGAAATAGGAAGCAATGCCGGTTGTCACATAGCATGATATTATGTATGTATGTTATATTTCATCTCAATATGTGTGAATTGAATAATAAATTATCTTATCAACTTAGCTGAGCGTTAAATTTGATTTGCCATGCTTTTATTTACGGTATTAATCAATTGTGAATCACCCAATGATTGAAAACGTACATAAAACGTGTGGCTAAACTCATATTGTTTTGCGAGGGCAGCAGAAATGATTTCTATATTTACTAGATTAAATATGATTTAAGTAAATAATTTTAAATAAAATACTATGATGATCCGTAAATAAAATGTTTGAGATGTTTTTGATGTTTAACCAATAGTTAAATGAACAGCACGTATATTTTTATATTAGTTATGTCTAAACAAATTTTACGAAATGTAACAAGAATGCTTTAATTTTTCATTGCTAAATAATGTTTCATTTAGATGCGCACAATCTTGGTAACTTACTTACGAACTTTTGTATTAATTATTTATGTAAAACTCGACGTTTCATAAGAACGGGCGAGTGTCTATTTGAATAAAAATATTTTAAAATTGGAATTTGAATCTAATACGTATCTCAGATCTTATTTTAATATCCTGTCTAAATATCATTGGACATATGTCTAAAGGTTCGCTATCTTCTAGACTTCTACCACTTTCAAACAGAACAAAAATATTGTTAAATATATTCCATAGTACATTGAAAAATGGGTAGATGAATGGAAATTAAATAAAGAAGAAAAACGATTTCCCCCAAAGAATTCTCCGTTTACTTCAAGTGACATATGTTTCGATTAGATACACGGAAATTTCTATAATGGCTGATAGGGCTAGTATAACGCACGTTGCTATGCGACTATACAGCTTAAAGGTGTTTGTTGTTGTGGTGTCGAGGAAAGTAGTTTCACGGCGTCGTCTCAGGGGCATGACTGCCTTCCACGGCTCGTCCTAAAACGAAAAGAAAATGATAAATGGGAATACGCAACAGTCTACAATTATAAATATTAACTAAAAGTAGAGTATCAGTCTATATATATTCCACTTCTGGGCAAAGTCCTCCTCTGTACTGAGGTTATTAGAGTCAACTACGCGCTCACTGCGGATTGGCAGACTTCTTTTGTTATTATTCCGAAATTTTACAGGATTTATCACGATTTTTTCCTTCACCACTGCACCCACGATAAGCCAGAATTTAAATTAACAATTTCAATGGTGCTGCCACTGGGATTTGAACACATTGCTCGAGTATAGAGAATTTAAAGCGAGCGCCTGGACACCGAGTTTTTACAGCAACAATTATCTACTTCCATGACATGTAATAAAGGAAAAATAAAAAAAAAAACACTTTTGAGTACCAGAAATTTTTCAAATACACGATAATCGAAGACGTATGGCCAGACATGATATATGTATTTGTGGATAACACAATCACAGGTACATTAAAATATACTATCCCAAAGACCTAACTACTTATTTAATTTAAAAACCACTAATACGTATAGAAGCTTAAATTCTTTAATTACTGGTCTGCATTGTGGAATGTGGGTTCGATTCCCACCCGAAACATGTTCCGGATTTCATTTTATATATAACTAACTATTACATTACTGTTGGTTAATTCCTATTCGATAGGTGAAAATTTAAAAAAAATACCAGATATCATAGCTAAAAGTATAAGGAGAGACGGTAAGACGATTCCGTTTTATAATGAGCTTTTTTACACTTCAAGAATTAAATTTCGGGAGTTATTCTCGAGCACAGCCTTTGTATAATATTTAACTAAAACCGCTTTACCTTATCCGGAATGAAGGTCGGATTGAGCTCTTGCGGCATGAGTTCCGATTCGAGATCAGCATCGTTTTGAAGTTTCTGGAACAAATATCTAAGAATAAATAGTTATCTAAGAACAAAAGAAACTTTAATGCGTAACTCTGCAAATGTGTCCTAAAATTTTTTGAGTCATAAACTTATTGAGAGTAAACAAAACGATATTCTCCATTCCACGTCTGTCCATCCATTTCTATCTTCATTTAGCACTTTGAAATATAGTCGTATGAGTTTATGATGAAATAGAAATAAGCCAATTGTCCCTGAAGATTTACGGCGGTCCTTTTCAATGTCACGTCGCGTTTACCCCTATATCGATCAGTGTTTATGACGTCGTTCACTGAATTGTATTTGCCTTGAGGACGCCCGAAGTTTACAAAGTGCCAGACATTCCAAAAATAAATTTGTTTTCTATTAAATGAAATGTTTTCACGTCCACATAGCGGTGTTGTTGTCATTTGAATTTATACTGACCAAACAACATCAGCCGTCACATATTTTAATCTTAACATGTTAAACCAAGATTCTGATGCGGACTGTGTTGTGTGTGTACGGCTGACTTTATTTGAAAGATAAGCGACGAGCTTATCATAATTATCCGCGTGATATGTGGCAAGATAGTCACACTAAACCTAACTGCCAGGGAGTGAAAACCAAATCCTCATGTTCACGTAATGGCTTAAATTAATGCGTTAGACGGTAAATTCTTGTGAATCTATCACCAATAGGGAAATCATAAGAAAGCCTAGGTGGTTATAAAAAGAATTGTAGGCAGTTATAACTTTCCTTATAAGGAATTTTACACTAAAACATAATTAACGGAAATATGAAGTGAAGTTTTAAGAAAATACAACAAATGTAAGCGCCTCTCGAAAAACGTGACATGATGTAAGACACACCATTAGGTCTGGTTCCCTAATTGCTTGAAGGCTGAAATTTCATTTGTCAAAGGCGCGATTACGCTGAGATTGGGGTCCAAGGCTGTTGGATCGTTAAGGGCATTCAGATTTCAAAAGCAGTTTGCTCCATTCACGAGTATCTTAAGGTACCTACTACCTTAAGCATTTATTGTCAATCGCATGCTAATGAATAAATTTAAAAGAAGTAAGTTTAGCCGCGTAACCTAAAAGATTATGATTTTATTCCTGGCAATTTATCTTTTTTTACAATTTGCTTTTATTACAATTTTGCTTATCGTCTGGTGAGTGACGTAACCGTGGCTCACTCATCAAAGTCCGTGTCGTATATGATGATTGGTGGTGACAATAACTAAACATTAACCGCCTTGACCGACTCGCTTTCTAACTTCTGAAAACAAATTGTACTCACATTCAAATGCCCATTCGCTACAGTAATAAGTAAAATTAGAATCAACTTTAACATTTTTCGATGAAATGACGACAACTACTGAATAATGGATCTATTCTACCGCGGAATCTACGGTAATTACACGGTAATCACAATAAATGTGATGAGTCTCCTATAAGTAGTCTTGAATAATTTCTAATAGCCCCAATTTCATTCCGCCTTCAAAATATTCTTGTTTATTCGTTCAAAGAAAATCTCACATATTACAAGTGTTGGTAGTAAACTTGAATTGTACACTATAACAGTTTATTTCGTTGACTGTTATAAATTTTTTATGTGATTTGTTTTATTACTTTGGTTGTAAATAGCAAATATAGAAACATGCGATGCATATGTGAAAATGAAAGTGACCGTTCTTATTCTGACGTTCTCTTGCGGACTTGTATTCGGACACAATTATGACCGTGTAAGTTTAACTTTTTTTACAAACGACTTCAAAAAAGGTGGAGATTTTCAAACATAAAACGAAAAAAAAAAATACATTTTTCCATTTCATTTTGAAATATAAAACATCAAGTGTTAAAAAGTTTTTTTTTAATCATTGTGCAATAAGTATTATATTCGAAGCGAAGCAATAAGTTTTTTTTTTTAATTTATATAAAATTTATTTATTTTTAATTACAGTAACTAGTTATTTTATACAGTTTTAATCGAAAATTCTAATAATGTAACACGGTACGTTGCAAGTTGCTGCTAGGCGACAGAGAAATGATTAATAGACTGACATGGTATTCTTTTTCTTCAAATAACATTACTGTAGTGTAAGATAATATAATCTAGGTGGTTTTACCAACACAAAATGAGCAAGAAACATCAGCTAGATCTAGAACTATTAATTGCAGGTGTGTGACGCCCAAGACTGTAAAAGATATACTATGTAAAGATTTATTAATTTGAACTATATAAGGATTCATGGTGGTAGGGCGACGCAGCAGCCTCGGCTGTTGCACGAATGGGCAGGCTCGTCCGGGTAAGTACCACGACCTCACAGAAAGCCGGCGTAAAGTGGAAGTATAATACTTTCGCGTTTCGTCTGGTGAGTGAGGTGGCCGGAGCCCAATTTTCAAAAGGTTGTTAACGCATCTGGTGTGTAGATGTCCATGGGCGGCTATTCACTTAACATCGCGTGAACCGTCTGCTCACTTGGCAACTTTTCACATAAAAAAAAATTATCAAGAGTAACGGAAAAACATATCTTTTGAAAAAGTGACAAACGAGCTTGCGGTTCACCTGACGTTAAGTAATAAACGCTGCCCATAGACATTTGCAACACCCGTAGGATTGCAAATGCGTTGCCACCTTTAAATAAAGTGGGCCCCGGCTACCTCACTCACTAGACCAAACGCAGAAGTGTAACACTTCTACTTGATTCGACTAGATAGCATTGACTAAACATATGTCCTTTCTTGAAATGTTGCCGACGAACTGATAAACAATAGATTTACCGTACAGAGCCGTGATTAAGTAATTGTGGTACCCAAATAAAAGTATCTGATGATTCGCAAAACAGCCCCATGCCGGCGACACTGGGGCAGTCGCTAGAGCGGCTCAACAGCTCTCCAGTGCGAGGCGCAAGAGAGAGGCGGTGGGCGCCCTTGACATAGTGACGAACAACGCGCAGCCCATACACGCCGAGGTCAAACCGGAAAACGGCGAGGTCGGCGGAAAGGTGAGTAGGGAGGCGCCCCGGGTCACGGCAGGCGAGCCGCGAAGGGTCGATTGACCTTTCGCGTCTCCTGAAAATGGAACAATAGCGGCGAACGGTTTCTCGTCGAGCTTTGATTTTAAAAATAGACATTCGTGTATGCAGGATAAAATCTTCGTGGAACGATACATTTTTTTAATCATTCAACAAAGATTTCATCTTGAGTTAATCCTAAATCTTTGTGGAATTTTTGAATCGTTTCAACACTAATAAAGTAGCGTTATCGTTAAAACGTTAAAGGTAAGAAGTGATCAAGTTTCAATTCCTTGGATATAAAAACTATGCATGATCGATAATCGAAGAGCTTTAAAACTGTGAAACAGAGAGAGTGTGAGAGTGAGCATATATTAAATGGTAAAAAATGGTACCACATATATTTTATTGTAACTTGTAAATTTTTTCTTAGCTATTTTTATTCACCTAATAGAAATATTTTAAAGTCAACAGATAAATCTGAGGTTTCTTTAATTCATAAATAATTATTTTGAAAGTACTATATCTTTACCTCTTACATTTAAAGGTCTTTGTTTGTATTTTATTCAACAATCTACCGAATACTTTGTGACATTACAGAAATGTTCTAAATCACATCGAAAACGCTTGCCGTCGAAAATAGAACCTGGTGTTGTTTTTCAGGTAAAAATATAAAATTTTAAGGGTTATGATATCGAATTCTACGTCTACGCTATAATCAGGTCGAACGAGCCCCAGTCGGTTTGACATTTCAATACTGTCACACCCAAAACGTCTACCGAAATGAATCACCTTCAATAAAGCATCAAAATAATAAACCGCAGCGACTTGCACCCACAAAAATGCGGTTAAAAGCTCCAGGCAAACGCTCCGTGAGAATTTAGTACGGGGGAGTATTTAATATAAAAAGTTTTCTGTATTTATTTTTCAAAACGTTGCAAGCTCGTCCGGACTTTATTCATTTCAAAGGTACATGAGCAACTGGCTTTACTCTTGGCTTCCTCTGTGTGTATCTGTCTTTTCAATAAGATAAATAGAGTCGGTAATTTTAACAGGTTTTATGTGCTAAACCAACGTATACTGATCACAAGTTTCATTAATATTTGTCCACACGTTACAACGCGAAGAGAGGAAAAACTATTTCAAACGTTAAATATCATTTTCGTGGGTTCTCAGTTTCGAATGTTAATTCTCCACACACGAATGCATGCAAGCACGTAAACATATACTCTGTTCCGCTGAGGAATAATATGGCCTCTGGGAGAAAAGTAGGTCTCCAATTCTGATGATGTTAAAAAACGCCATGTTTTAAAAATACAGAAGCTTAAAAAATGTAGCAAGTATTGAAAAAGGCAGCTTACAATTAAATGGATGAATAAATTGAAGGACCGATAATCAACGGGGAAGAAACGTTCTCGAGTGGCAGCCTCGTATTTGCCATCGTAGTGTAGATGATCTCGACTATATGGAGTGAGGACCTGTGCAAATATGCGGAAAGTCGATGGGTGCAGGTGGAATAGGATCGTGTTTGGTAACAGTCCGTGGGGGAGGTCTATGTTTAGCTGTGGATCTGAACAGGTTGATATCATGATGAAGTAATTTTATTATAAGTTTGTTAATATTACCTTAAATAAAGAGACAGTTTAAATTACTTTGTTCCTATAGCTCCGGCAAGAAATTATAGAGTCGAATAGGTAGTCTCTCTGCCTATAAACTTTATATTAAAATTGGTTCAGCAGATATAAAATCGAAAAACACACAATAATGATAAACTGGAAAATCCTTGCGTAATGCGGCTTTTGTTAATGGTAACATGCAAATATGTAAAAATTATATAATATTTTCATAATAACACATTTAATTTCTAATCACACGCTTCTATTAAAGTTTGTCTTGACTTCACCGTCTCTTTTATGTATATAAAACTAAGTAGCAATGGAAATAACAAAGAAATACAATTTTCAAAAGGTTTTCAACGCATCTGCAAACCCTCGGGTGTAGCAGATGTCCATGGGCGGTGGTATTCATACACTTAACATCAGGTGAACCACCCGCTCGCTTACCAAATTTTCACATTAAAAAAATACAGAACCAAGAACAAAAAAGTCTTTTGATCCTTTTCAAATCAAATACCTTTATTACACATAGAAGCATCACACTTTATTATTGATTGTGAAAACGCTACCAGCACCAGTTCGGAAAGAAAAGCCACTGACCTGTGAAGAACTGGCGAAAGAAACTCAGACTTTAAAAACAAAACTAAAACAAAAACAACAAAACTCAGACAAAAAACAAACTCATACTTTAAAAAACTATTCTTCAATTACAGTTGTCATCAATAAAAGAAATATGAACATCAAGGACTTTGTTTCAGGTAACACCTCCGAAGACATTATTCTATGAAGCAATATCATTGCGGAAGTCGCTGCCTCTCACTAGCAAGTTGGATTTGATTCGCGGTATCAACAGACTGATAACATTGTCAATCCTTGCTGCCTCCGCTGTATTCGAATTCTATCCAATCATCAGACAAGCTTGTGAAAGCATCGTTGACATATTGTATAATACATGATTCTGTTATTTGTGTGCAATATATTTTTTTTACATAATTTAAGCCCTTTGAGTCACAATTAGTTAAGAAGTAAATTGATTGTAACGTTTTATTAATTTATAATTTTAAAAGTTTTGAAGTGTATCAAACTGAGATCAGAATATAATTAAATCCTAAATATACATATCTCTAACGAGACATAAAAGTGGCGTTAGATATTAAAAAATACACATGTATAGGCCTATACACATGTATAGGCTGATTTTACTTTTTTTTTTTTCAGTTAGTCAGTGGGACATCCCACTGACTAACTGAAACTGCCAAGAACGCCAAAAGGTTACATTTCAATAATTCCATAAAAAAAGAAAGATCTATATATGTCCCATTGCTGGGCAAAGGCCTCTATAGAGAGGGTATTAGGGCATAGTCCACCACCCGGCCCCACTGCAGTTTGGTGGACTTCACATATTTTCGAAATATATATATTATTGTTATTATTTCGAAAATTTCATAAGTCAGCAGTTAAAATTAACAATTTCATTGGTGCTGGCGCCGGGGATTGAACTCAGGTTGCTCGAGTATATTGAATTAAAGGCGAGCGCCCGGACACTGAGAGTGATACTAAATATTCGTCCGTAAATTTGCTATTTGATACGAAATCTTCCTCTCTAAATAAAAAATTATCACATATAAACGGAATTTTTTAAATATTAAATTTTAAATATTTTTTTAAATATTAAATTAAAGATTGAATTTATATAATAAAACATATTACTAGTTCCAGATAAATTATGTGTAGTATATTTTCATGCATGTTTTATAATGTTATGATAATAAACGCTATCCGTGACGTATTGAATTTAGGTGGAACTTTAAATTGTACAAACACAAAATGTACTGCTGTTATTTTCGAATCCATTAATCCCAAAGAATCATGATCATTAACTTGTGTGACTTTTAATAACTGTAAAAATGCTGTTTCGTGAATTAATACAGCTATTTGCATTTTGTGCTGTTTCATTTACTGCAACATTAAGCGAAGATGTAAGTTAATTTTAGTTCATACCGGATTTCTACATTTATACTAACTTTATTGATTTCTTTTATATAAACTATATGATAATTCATTAACGATTTTTTTTGTTTAGGTTCAACTTTGGGACACGAGTTTACAAGAAAGTAACAATGAACAAAATTCAAAACAAGATACAAAAATCTTGGAAAATATCGAAACAGCATCACCATTGGCAAGTAATATATTAGATAAAAAAGATAACTCCGATTCAGTAAATTTACGTCTGGATCCGGGTTCGTCAAATATCAAAATGATATCGTCGAACTTACCATGTACAATACCAGTGCAGAGTGCTAGCTCTTATACGATTCCAAACAAGTCGAAACCTTGTAATAAAGAAGAAATTAATTGTTACAATTCAAACTACAGAGTTCCTAAAAAGTCCTCTGCAAAATCAAGGCTAAAATCTAATAAAAATAACAAGGATGTTTCGTCGCCGAATATTACGGAGGCAAAGAAAAATTCCTCTAGTTGTAAAGATAAAGATCTCGATGGAACGGTTGTTCAAAATCTTGTCGATACTCATAAAAATAATAAAATTTTAAAGGATGGCACAAATAAATATATTAAAGAAAAAACTTTTAACGACGAAGATATTGTTCATTTATTAAGTGTCATACGAAAGAACATAAATTTAACGGAACCAGAGTTAAAACAGATAGAACTTTATAGCTGCAATAAAAATATATATGAAAATACTTTAGGGTCAACCGCCGTAGAAAGGTTAATACACATATTGGAAGAGCAAAACAATTTATTAAAAGATCTCTTACTGCAAATTTTTCAATACGTAAAAGGAAAAGCGAGCTCTGAAAGTAACACCCAAACGATGCATCTGATACTGGATGTTATTAATTTTAAAAATAACAGCGCGGGTTAGTATTTTAAGCTACGTTCGCTTGTTTAAAAAGTATGATAAACGTTTTAAAAACTCATAATAGCTTGCGGTCAGGCAAATTATATGCAAGTTTAATTTCCTTCACACAATTTACAATTCATCCTTTGATGTCTTTTCAATTTGCATTACTGCTTTTTATTTTAAAAGTTTGAACGCAAGCAGGTGATTCACAAATGTTAAGTGATTACCGCCGCCCATGAACGTCTGCATCACCTAAATGTGTTACTAACCATTAAAAATGTTGTGCCCCGGTTACCTCACTCACTAAAAAATAACTTCAATATATAATACTACCATCTCTCACTTTGGCTTCCCTGGACCTCTCCTGCCCATTCGTGAAATAGCAATAACAATGCAATAATCTTCCCTGTGGGCCTCCTACAAATAAAATAGGGTTGGAATTTATGCTAATTTTGAATAAATTGAAATTATTGTAATTGAGTTAATTGATTTTAACGTACTCCAACTGTGTATTTTCACTATACTGTTAATTTTAATTCCAGATTCCCAACTGAATCAAGTTCCTGTGAAATGTAGTGATGAAAATAATGGAAAAGTTGTGAGTTGTGTGGAAGCTACATTGGCAGATGATAGTAGCTTGCTCAAAGTTAACGTCAATGAAAACAAAGTCAACTCTGATACACTTCCTGGGTATTCATTGTCTGGAAATATTTTAGAAAACAACGACGCTCACAGTAATCCCGTTCCGTGTCCTTACAGTGTTTTGGATATACCCAATCAAGTGTCTAGCTCATACGAATACCAACCTAGTAAAAGTCTATGGTACTCTGCTTGTGGCAGACTTCGGCAAGATGAGGTTACACCACAGATTACAAATAACGACGATTTGTCAACAAAAGATAATATAAAAACTAGTTCAAAATCAAGTAACCATATGGAAATTTGTACCCCACTGTACAGTTATGAAACTCATACTAAGGCTCCATTGAATAGAAATTATAAAGGATACGTTAATTCACCAGTCGTTGAACCGTATACTAATTTTTATCGTACCTACACAGATCCTAAGCCTGCCGTTTCAAGTTGCCCGTATTATGACTTACACTATAACCATATTTAGAAATATGTCAACATAAAATAAATTTGAATATTGATGACATTTTTATTTAGGTAACAGTTTTATTTAGCTCGACCCGTACGGAATTTGTTTGTTTATTTGGGTCAAAATTAGAAATTGAAATTTAAGCACCTTCCCGTTGTCCGATTGATCTGAAATTTGGTACACACATTTAATTTAGATGACAATACAATATTGTAGTTTTCAGTGCACATAAAATAAAACCGTTTAAGTTTAAAGTTTTTAAACGGTTTTATATTCTTTTAATTTGTAATTTTTTGTAGATTTTAGAAAAACTTTCAGCGCTGCGGGATTCGAATCTGTATTTTCAGACGCTTTACCAACCAAGCAAGGTGGCGGATGATCTTACGGCTCGAAAACCTTGATATCTACTCGTATCTATCTACTTTCGTTCTATTGCATTTTTAGTAATGCTTGGCGACAACTAGTGTGCATCCTTTACAGCATACAACACCTTAGAAATAACATTCAAAGATGAATGTTTGTAACGGGAGATGTCACCACAAAAATTTTAAAGATTAATTTAATGTTTTTAGTGCTAGTCTCTCGTACTCAAACTTTTAAATTGTAAATTTTTGTAGATAAATGAACAAAAACTTTCGGCGCTGCGAGATCTTATGTCTCTTGAAATTCCCCTGACAGAAATTAAATGGCGTATTCAGATTCTCATGATGGTAGTTCTTTTTCAAACAAAACCTTCATTTCATCATTATTAGCCGAAAGTCTTCTCTGTTTAATATAAACCTCATTTCCCTTAGAACACCGCAATGAAAACGACTATACCATTTGAAAAATTGATTTCAATTGAAGCAATTAATGCAAAAAGTATATTTACTGATTTATTTATTCAAGTTTCATTGCTATAGCTTAAGCCTTCAATGGGTGGACTTAATGCCTAACGGCATTCTGTACCAGTCAACCCTTCTCATGGTGAAAAGCAGATGGCAGGTGAGATTACAACACAATTATTATAATTATTTTACTCTGAGATTTGTTTTTGTTATTCATTTTCAAGCCCTCCTGAATATAAATATTTGTGACCAGTTCAATAAATTAATAAGCAAGTAATTTAAAATTAATATTTTCGTTTGTTAATGTTTTATTGTTTCGAAGACATTTACCACCGAGAAATAATACGATCAAAGAAATTCGAAAAAAAAAAATCACCACATAATACATCTTTTTTGGGTTCCGTATTCAAAGGGTAAAAAATGACCATGACTCTGCTGTCTGTCGGTCTGTCTATCCGTCTGTCACCAGGCTGTTTCTCATGAACCGTTTTGGTGACAGTTAAAATTTTCATAGATGATGTGTTTATGTTGCTGATATAAAAACAAAACTAAAAAATAGAATTAAAAAAAACTTAAGTGGGTCTCCCGAACAAGAGACATGTTTTTTTTTTAAGTTTTTGTAGATAATGGTGCGGAACTCACTTGCACGAGTCCAACTCGCACTTGCCCGGTTTTTTACAGAGGCAATGTTATATTTTTTTATATATTTAATTTTAAATATTGTGCAAAACGTAAAAGAACTTCTTTAAAAAAAACAAATGGATCATTCACTATTCTTCAGACAAGAAATAAAGAAAAAAACTACTTTCATAGATACAATTTATTTCTATATTAACGTTGATAATAACATCAATGTGCGAATTATTTATACGGGTCAACTAGTGGGCATATATTTAATACAGGTTAAATTTAAATTTTGATAAATTCAGTTTAAATGTTAATCTGGTGAGTCTAGTAATACTTACATACAAACATTCGTTGAACGAAACAATTTTACGGATTTTATCTTAATTTATACTATTTAATTTAAACTCCAGACATGGTCGTGAGACCCACTGAATTATTTAAGACCTAATATCATAGTTAATACGTGCTATTGTCAATTATTTTATTAATCATTAGAAAAGATACCATTAGCACTTATTGCGTAGATCGAAATTAATTGTTGAACCAATTCATGCCAAAGATGGCCCGAGAAAGGTTTTAATTTTTTTAGCCTTATTTGTGATCTCAAAATGTTCAGGTCATTTTACAATTTTGGTTATGGTCTAATTTGCCTCAACTTACGATAAATAATGACAATAATTTACACTTTACTTTGGTACAAATTATTTTCTTGAGTAAATAAAAACAATCTAACTTAAAGGCGTTACGAATTGCTCATAATAACATCACGACTTAGGAAAATAGGTAACACGCGAAGGACTACTTGAGCTCGCGTGTACGGGAGCACTTAACTCTACCATCCTTCCGACTCTACATCGATTCGGTCGGAAGTTATGCCTTGTTCAATTCTTTGTAGCATACAGAAAAAGAACGCATTAAGATATTAAATTTACTACGGTTTGAATGTTGTCTCTATCTAGTCCGTAGTGGTAGTTATATTTAAATCGAATATGATTTGGCCCAATTCTTACTGGAAGCTCACCAGCAGACAACCGACAACCATGTCGTTATACATTGTACATATAAATTGGAATTGATTATCGTGCTGTATTTAAAAATTACGAATGATTTTATTCTGGTAGGACCACTCAGCAGCTTCGGGTATTGCACGATTAAGCGCCCCAAACCCGTGGGTTCTGGCTAGCCCACCGGTTCTGCGAAAGCAAAAACATCAGTCAATACAAGATACAAGACGATTAAGCGGACTCATCCGGGGAAGTAACTTGGCGAAGTGGAAGTATTACACATATTTATTATTACATTCGCATTTCGACGTGTGTGTTGTTGGTGGCCACTTTATTAATATTTGCAACGCATCTACTATCGATCAGATGTAATACTTAACCATTGACCGTGGTCATCACTTAACATCAGTTTGACAATCATTGAATTAATAAAAAATATCACAAAAACATTTTAAAAGTGTAATGTTATTAAGTCTGAACTTTGTGCAGAGTATTTTATGTTATCAAAGTTAATACTTCTTTTGGCGCGTTTGAAAATATAACTCTACTAGCGGCCCGCCCCGGCTTCGCACGGGTAACAATACTTTTAACAAAAAATTTTAAAATTATAAATTATCATACACACACATAAAACCTTCCGAATGTTTCGTCTGTGGTGAATAATTTTATGAATTTCTTAATCTTTTAATGAAATACCCTTGAAATTACGTCATGAAGATCGAAAGATCGCTGACCAGATATTGGTTCCGCTTTAATTACGGGACATTCGGGGTTACACGTAAAAGTGATAAATAAGTCTGGTCTCCCATAGCTTCGGGCATAAATCATCGCATCTTTGGTTTTTTAATGCAGATAACTCGGAGAATGAATATGACGTTGCAGATTACGTGTTGACCGATATTTGATGGGCTTTAATGTTTATGTGTTTGAGATTTAATGTTTCACCAGCCCTCAATCTATGGTGATTACGACATCATATGTAATTCAATCTTTCTGATATCTTTTTTCCATCATGTCGACAATGTATTGAATAAAAACCGGCAAAGTGCGAGTCGGACTCGCACGCGAAGGGTTCCGTACCGACCTCACAGAAAACCGGGGTAAAATAGAAGTGTTATACTTTTACGTTTCGTCTGGTGAGAGAGGTAGCCGTGGCCCACTTTATTTGAAGATGGCAACTCATTTGCAACCCTACAGGTGTTGCAAATGTCCATGGGCGGCGGTTATTACTTAACATCAGGTGAACCGCCAGCTCGTTTGCCACTCTATCACATTAAAAAAAATCATCTTTTAATATCTTTATTCAACATAGTATTGCACTTAAATATTGACAAAAACACTACTACTCTGAACATTATCTATAAAACCGGCAAAAAATCATGTCTGTTTTATGGGAGCCCCTCTTATTTATAATTTTTTGTTTTTTAGTATTTGTTGTTATAGCGGCAACAAATGACAACGAAATACATCGTTTGTGAAAATTTCAACTGTCTGACTATCACGGTTCGTGAGATACAGCCTGGTGACAAATGAACAGACATACGGCAATACAGACGGACAGCGGAGTAGTAGTAATAGGGTGTCGTTTTACCCTTTGGGTGCGGAACCCTAATAAGTCCCAGTAATAATGTAATGGATTAAAACAGGTAGCTCCAACCATCAACCTAAATACATAAAATGCAGTTTTGTTACACACAGTACCTTGCTGAGGAATAGTCAAATATAAACTGTCTTCTCCTATTACGACTATTAAGAGATATTTTAGTGGATCATACAATCGGTGTAACTCAGAGACCCTTTTAAGTTGACCGTGTCTAGGGCCTTTTTAGGGTTCCGTACCCAAAGGCTAAAACGGGACCCTATTACTAAGACTCCGCTGTCTGTTTGTCCCTCTGTCAACAGGCTGTGTCTCATGAACCGTGATAGTTACAGAGTTGAAATTTGATCTGTGTATTTGTTTCCCAAGAAGGGTTGACGTCAGGCAGGCGGCTGGTTGTAAAAATATAGCCAAAACCGCTTACAACATGATTCACGTTGTGCCGATCCTACCTAGGTAGGTGGGATAGGGGCAGGAGGATGATGATAACTTGTATACTTGTCCCCCTATTTTAAAAGTTCACGCTTAACGAAATCATTTGAAAGAGGCTGTTGCACTTTCGAATGTTGGTTAAAAATGTCCAGATGGATGAATGATTATTTGTCAAAAGATTTTTTATTGGCGGCTCCTCAATATTGGGGAGACTAACTTTTCCAGGAGCACAGCACATACCATTTGGTTCATCGACCCGTTTTTTGGCAGAACACTTAGAGCAGATCTTATTCATGGCTCCGATTTGGACAAAAGACTGTTGAGCTTAATGCATTAAAGCTGATCTGTTACTGTGAGCTAAAAGTCGATTACGAACTCTAATCGTTGACGTTTGTTGTCTTTCCCTGTAATCTAGTAGGCGTTGGGAACGCTCAGAACTCGACTCCCTAGTGTGAATTTGTATATTTATATTATTATGCTCTTCAAGCAGCTGCAAACACTCTTGACTCTCTCAGACTTGAAAAATTATAAGACCTATTAAGTCAGTCACTAAGCTGTTTGGATAGTTAAATTCCAATATACTAACATTTTTAAACTTGTGATATCTCTCGAATGGAATGTCCGAATTTAATAATTCAAAAAGTTGTATAAAGATATTGAAGCAGTCTTAAATATGAAGTAATTTATTTTTATAAGGATTAATACCAAGATACAAATAAAGAGCCTTTTCTAGCGGCGGCATTTCAATCAAAATTTTTAAACAAAAGAACACTTATTGTAGCATAACTATAATAGTTAGACATATGCTCTCGCAAAACTTTTTGGAAATAATGTTGTGTTCTACAAATTCGTAGTACATTACTTTATTCTATCATATAGTTATCAATAGTTTTCGCAGCGCACGCGATGTAAAGAATATTTTAGGTAATTTTTGTACACTTTGGGTTACATTATTGAAGTTTTTGTAAGGATCCCTATGTTTTTCAAAATATAATATAGCCTATATCAAGCGGGAATAATGTAGCTTCCCAACAGTGAAAGAATTTTTCAAATCGGTTCAGTAGTTTCGGAGCCTATTCAATACATACAAACAATCAAATCTTTCCTCTTTATAATATAGATTATACTAAACAGCATATTTAAGAAGCTTCTGCTGAAGTTTGTATGACAAAAACTATATTACTGTACCATAGGCGAAATCACCAACTCTAAGTTTTGATATCGCGCCGACTTCTAAGCGTAGACAGCAGAATGTAAAGCTGGAACTTAAATTTAAGAGAGTGCTGCGCCTTCACATAGTCCGCATGTGTGGGTGTAGCAAAAAGTTCGTTCTTTTTGGCAGTTCGCCGAGAGCTTTCACGTTAATTATTTAAAAAAAGGCCCAACGGAGGTCGGTTTAGTTGAATATTTAAATTACGTTTGCTTAAAATTCTTTGTAACGTGATATAAACCAGAAAGGTTTTTTGTGAGCTTCAATAAGATCTTAAATTAAGCCAGCCTATATTGAATAAAGAAATTCTGACTTTGAATGGGTCAGTTTTTGTTGGGTTAAGGGTTTTAATTGGTTAAACCTCGATTTTTAACCGTCCAATTTTAAAATAATGAGACTAGTTTTAACTAAAGAGGATCGCCAGCGATCATGGCGAAATGCAAATTTAACAAAGTTGTCGCTTTCAATAGCTCGATGTTAGTTTTCATAGGTCTTTGATAATCTATTCTAGATTAGATCGGTACTTGGTTTATGTTTCGAGTTAGCGACTTCCTTATCATCGCACCAAAATTAGCTCCAAGCAAAATTATTTGATGAGACAAAAGTAAGATTCGGTATTTTATACTTGAATTAATTTTTGTATAGTGAAATAAACTAAAGAAGTAATAATAATAAAGCATATAATAAATAAGCAAATAAGCGAAACTCATACTATGAGTACTGGATAACTGACAAGTTAACTTGAACTTACTTTTCTTTTCTAAATATATAAAAATTATAGATAAATAAACACCCAGTAAATCACCATGTTCATCACACAATATTTTCCAGTAGTGGAGATCGAGCCACACTCTCTAGCTCAAGAAACAGATTCATCATCCACTATGCCAATTAGGTCCTTGAAAGTGGTACGATAACAGTATAATATTGGGCAGCCTAATGATGCGTTCGGCAGAGAAGCTTTACAGAAGCGCGAAGCCTGCTGGCGAAGCTGGACTGAATTTTCAGGAACGCCACGTACAAGCTGACAAGCTCACAAGTGGCAATGACGTGACGAGCAAACTGCAGTACGTTGTTTCTATGTAGAGCTTATAAGCAATGTACGGAAGCTTCTACGCGCTACCTAGAAGCTATACGCGAAAGCTCCTACGTACGCACTACTAAGAGGTGATGTAGCTTCTATGCAGCACGTCACGTAGTTTTGATTTGTATTGGCTCCCCTTGCATTTTCCCCGCGTAGCATTGAGGTGAACGGAACAATAACAATAGCGGTAATCACTAGATTAATACTATAAACGGTATATGTGAAACTGTTATTTACTGTTCGCGTTATATAAATTTGATTGCTTACCCGATACATATAAACTTTCCTCATAAATCACTCTATCTAGTAAAAAAAAAAACGCATCAAGATCCGACGCTTAGTTTTAAAGATCTACGCAGACATAAGGGCAGAAAGACAGCGGAACGATTTTCTTTTATACTATGAAGTGATAACACTCTTAATAACACTCACAATCTGGCTAAAATATCTATATTATAAAGAGGAAAGGTTTGATTGTTTGTATGTTTTGAATAGGCTCCGAAACTACTGAACCGATTTGAAAAATTCTATCACTGTTGGGAAGCTACATTATTCCCGCTTGATATATATATCCCGCTATATTATATTTTCAAAAAATAGGGATCCTTACTAAAACTTCAATAATGTAACCCAAAGTGTACAAAAATTATCTAAAATATTCTTACATCGCGTGCGCTGCGAAAACTATTGATGATAGAATAAAATAATGTACTACGAATTTGCAGACCACATCATTATTTCCAAAAAGTGTCGCGAGAGCATATGTCTAACTATTATAGTTATGCTACAATAAGTGTTCTTTTATTTTAAAATTTTGATTGAAATGCCGCCGCTAGAAAAGACTCTTTATTTGTATCTTGGTATTAATCCTTATAAAATAAATTACTTCATATTAAAGACTGTTTCAATAGCTATATTTTACTTTTCGAATTATTAAATTCGGACATTCCATTCGAAAGATATCACAAGTTTAAAAATGTTAGTATATTGGAATTTAACTATCCAAACAGCTTAGTGACTGACTTAGTGGTTCTTATAATTTTTCAATCACATTTATACTGGTAATTCCTGTTTAACAGCTAACAAATATTTAAGTTCAAAGGCAGTTTAATTTTCTTTATCATTTTAAAATGGCCAAAAGATCAAGATCTCATCTTTTTAGAAATAAAATCAAAAATACGCCGTAATGAAGAATCTTTACCGGAAAGTGTAAATGGTCTTACAAGTCGGAGAGAGTCAAGTAGAGCGGCTTAAGGAGCAAAATAATATAAATATACAAATTGACACTCGGGAATCGAGCTCTGAGCGTTCCCAACGCCTACGAGATGAGAGAGAAAGACAACAAATGTCAACGACTAGAGTTCGCAAACGACTTTTAGCTCACAGTAACAAATCGGAGCAATGAATAAGATCTGCTGTAAGTGTTCTGCCAAAAAATGGGTCGATGAACCAAAAACCAAATACGGTATGTGCTGTGCTTCTGGAAAAGTTAGTCTCCCCAATATTGAGGAGCACAGGTAATAAAAATCTTTTGACTAATAATCAATCACCATCTGGACATTTTTAACCAACATCCGAAAGTGCAATAGCCCTTTTCAAATGACTTCGTATGACACGAACTTTTAAAATAGAGGGACAAGTATACAAGTATCATCAATATACAACAACCATCATCCTCCTGCCTCCTAGGTGGGTTCGCCACAACATGAATCATGTTGTTAGCGGTTTTGGCTATATTTTTACAACCAGCCGCCTGCCTGACGTCAACCCTCCTTGGGAAACAAATACCCAGACCAAATTTCAACTGTGTAACTATCATGGTTCACGAGATACAGCCTGTTGACAAGAGGATCTAATCCATGGCATTATTATTGGGACTTATTAGGGTTCCGTACCCAAAGGGCAAAATCGCACCCTATTACTAAGACTCCGCTGACTGTCTGTATGTCCGTATGTCTGTCCATATGTCACCAGGCTGTATCTCATGAACCGTGATAGTTAGACAGTGGAAATTTTCACAAACGATGTATTTCTGTTGCCGCTATAACAATAAATACTAAAAAAAAAAACGTATAAATAAGCGGGGCTCCCATAAAACAGACATGATTTTTTGTCGTTTTTATAGATAATGTTTACAGTAGTAGTGTTTTTGACAATATGTAAGTGTAATACTTCTATACTTCTATTGAATAAAGGTATTAAACCATGATTTTTTTAATGTGATAGAGTGGCAAACTAGCTGCCGGTTTCTCTGATGTTAAGTGATAACAACTGTGTTGCCAACATTAAAGAAGTGGGCACCGGTTACCTCTCTCACCAGACGAAACGTAGAAGTATAACACTTCTATTTTACGCCGGTCTTCTGTAAGGTCGGTACGGAACCCTTCGTGTGCGAGTCCGACTCGCACTTGGCCGGTTTTTATTCAATACATTGTCGATATGATGGCAAAAAGATATCAGAAAGATTGAATTACATAATTATGATGTCGTGATCACCAGAGACTGAGGGCTGGTGAAACATTCATCTTAGAGACGCCCTAAATCAAGGCCCATCAAATATCGGTCAACGCGTAATCTGCAACGTCATATTCATTTACGGGTTCTCCGAGTTATCTGCATTAAAAAACCAAAGATGCGATGATTTATGTCCGAAGCTATGGGAGACCAGACTTATTTGTCACTTTTACGTGTAACCCCGAATGTCCCGTAATTAAAGCCGAACCATTATCTGGTCAGTGGTCTTTCGATCTTCATGAGGTAATTTCAAGGGTTCATTAAAAAATGAAGAAATTCATAAAACTATTCACCAAAGACGAAATATTCGTAAGGTTTTATGTGTGTGTATGATAACTTTTTGTTAAATACCCGTGCGAAGCCGGGGCGGGCCGCTAGTCTTCTTATATATAGAAATGGATTGCTGTTCGTTAGTCTCGCTAAAACTCGAGAACGGCTGGACCGATTTGGCTAATTTTGGTTTTGAAATATTTGTGGCAGTCCAGGGAAGGTTTAAACGATGAGAAAGTATGGAAAAATTGCATGGAAAATCGAAATAGCAAAAATTTTATTTTCCTATACAAACTGTACCTGTCAACCTGTCAACTATATCCAAAGAGAATGTAATCACTACGTTTATGACTATATCTGTGTAACCTGTCAAACACTTCATGTGTCCGTTCCGATTCCTCTAGACTCTAGAAATAATTTATATGCCAAAACAACGTTTGCTGGGTCAGCTAGTATATTATAATTATTTTAATTATTTTCAACTTTAAATCAAAGTATACTGTTATAATTTCGAAAATACATAATAAATAAGTACGTAAATATTTTTTTTTGGAATAAAATAACATTATTCTTATCGGTACCTTATTTACTCACGCTGTTTTCCGAGCTTTTAGTATCTGTATTTTAGTTTCAAAAGCTGCTTTCAGCTGTAAACAAAACCGTTACTTTTGGCCTAAAGGTCCTTGATAACGGGCCATAAAATCCAAAAAAATAAAATACCGTTACCAAGCGAACATATCTTTTTACGTCGGCTACTTCATTGCTTGTCAAAGTTTGAATTGACGATAATGAAATCGAACCCGGCTGCGCTCACATTGTGAAGCCAATAATATGATAGGTATAAAACTATTGTTTACGCTTTCCATTGGAATAAATTTTATTTATATGTAGTCCATTTATTGATAAAATGTAATCGATGTAATTATAATTAAAGTAATATTTTATCATCATCATCAACCGCAAGACGTCCACTGTTGAACATAGGCCTCCCCCTTAGAACGCCACAACGAACGACGCATAATTTTAACATAACATACTTAAATTCCTATACCTATGCGAAGCAGGACTAATAATCTTGTCGTAAACACTATGTATTATATTCATTTATGTGCATATGTGACAGAAATACCATTAGGACAAAACGATAAACAGCGCCAATCAACTAATATCCTTTAACTGCAAATTGGACCTAAACTAATGTGTCCAGATTTCACCTTAAGTTTAACACAAAATTTTATAACAGAGATCCTAAGTAACCCACAATGTTGCCTTGACCTCTTGTAAAAGGACAAGTTACGGCTAAAGTCCCGCCCTAAGATTCCAAGTTTATACATTATAGCGCAAGCAAGAAAATATCTTAAAAGTAAATTAGGTAAAAGAATTTGGTTTCTTGCCCAGCAATGTTAAGAAGCTAGTGGCCTATAAGATAGTATTATTAAGCAATAGAAAACTACCTAACATCTTCATGGATGGAGGTTTGAAAAGAAAATGGATTGAATAAACTTCTAGATACTTGGCAGTATTTTGTTTACTTTGGATGCAATATTAAAAAGGAACAAATAATGTAATTATTGAAATTTCTGTCTATTCAAATTTCTTTTGCAATTATTTATAATTGGTTAAAAGTACTACACATAAAACTTAGCGCTTTTCTAAAATCAGTTTTGATAAACATTAATTTCTCTTACAGAACGTTTATGTGACTTACTGATAATTTTCTAACATTACATTAATCGTTATAATTGCGTCAAAAAACCCTGACGTTCAATTATTATTAACACTCAACCTTTGTCTTTTATTCTTGAGAAAATAACGGTAGCTCACTACTCTGCCATTTCAATAATTTTGTTGGAATCCACGTTACCGCATGTGTTCAAACGGTGAAAAACAATTTATATTCAAAGGACCCCAGTTTGAAAAGAAATTTATCACCAAGAAATAAATCGGAAATTTAAGCCACAAACTTTTTTCGGAACATTGAGTAGGCTACTCCTGAGATTGCTTTGGTTCATTTTATGTATCAAAGTTCTTTTCTAAGAGAATTCCAAGAATACGAGTTAAAATAAGTTCCGATTGTGTAATAAATAGTATTTATGCATAAATGTGGGGTCGCATCTATTCACCGTAGCTTCGTTATAAGTAATACAAAAGGAAAACAAAGAGTAATGATGCTTCTATTTCGGAATTTATAAACATTACGCAACATTTGCAACAG